TATTTCAAAAAAACTATGTTATCCATGATTTAACTCAATATATTTAATTTAATTTTACCTTTACATGAATTCTATTCAAGCATTGAAGTGAGAGATGCAAAAACTGATTTGTCATGATCGATTAGCAAGATGAACATATCACCATATATTTTTTAAGAACTTTGCTTTCGTTAAAATCGAAAGGTAAACTTTCAGCCATTTTCTCCTTTTACCATAACAAAATATATGATAAGAAATATTCGAATAAAAGACTGAGTTAATGAAGAAACAATTACAACATGGATATATATATATATATATAGAAGAAACAATAGAACATTTGCAATTGCATTCACCTAGGTAAAAAATAAAAGACGTGAAGAAGAAAAGTGTATCTTAACTTTTATCGCTACATATTTAATAAATCATTAAACTTTATATTTCTTATAGAAAGTTACGATAAATTTAATATAAGAATATATGTTATCGAGTCAAATGATGAATTAAATATGTTGCAATAAACACACTTTGATAGGTTTTTCCTTTTTGGTAATAAGTCAGTCACACATATATTAAATTTACATCTGAAATTTTATAGCAACATATTTAATAAATCATTTGAATTTATAATATATATGAAATTCTTGAGCTAAATGATGATGAACATAATTTTGCTTTTTAGAGAATACCATAAAGGAATTACCTCATATGAAATTCTTGGCTAAATTGGATGCATTGAAAGGATATTCATAGTCTGAAGGGTACTCAAATGTTTTATTTGTCGATCTCCATTCATTCCTTGACAATGAATCATTTACTCGCTCAACTTGAGCTTTGTATTTCTGAAAGGAAAAACGTAATGATGAAAATGATATTAAAAGGCTATCATAAGATCACAACGGTTTATATGTAGAATAAAAGTATATATGCAAACCTGGAGGTGACTACCGACTTGACGTTGACTTAAATCTTGTCATTCAGTATACTCAATATGGATTTAGGATGAGAATCTGTAGGATTAATGAGTATAAGAAAATAATATAAACAAATGAGAAATGGTTAACAACAATGAAAGAAATCTTACCTTTGTCTCTCAAGATAGAGATAGCAGCCAAAAACTTCATGTGACGTTCTTGAGTCCATAAACTCCTAGGTCTCCCAATATTACTCTCCACTTTCTTCTCTTCCCTTCTCTTATTCTCGTCTCAATTAGACACACCGGTTTGGTTTTCCATTAAGCATTTGCTACACTTCTTCTCTTTTGGTACATTTGAGAAGCTTTGAATGTTTCCATAAATGGCTTTTTTCCTAGGAAATATGTTTGACTAGTTCTTTGCCTCTTAAAATTTTCCTGAAAGCTTCAATCTCCTTTATATCTTTTTCCGCAAAGTCATCTTGCTTTTTAGCTATGTGATTTTCGCTAACTCTTGGCTTTTCTTAAGTAATGCATGCTGCCATAGGTTTTTCTTTTCTTTTTCATAAATTGCTTCTTCAGAAAATAGCATGTTCTTCTTGTCAAAAATTGATGCTTCCTTCGTCTTTGTCTCCGGACTTATCACTATTAATGAGTAAAATTAAAGAGAAATTTAACTTTGTTTAACGAAATGGCAAAAATAGTAATCTGAATGGAAATATATTCAAATAGACTTACATATGAGAGGAATGTTTCTTGAAGCAAAGAGTTGTGGAATGAATGTGAATCTATGCGAGGCATTTCAATGTTGGCTAAGATAAATACAATCTTCTTTTGCTTTTCGATCATTGATATAGCTTTACTAACCACATTCCTGTTAATCACTAATTAAAAAAATCATATTATGTATTAGTTATTTAATTTTTAACATTGTGGAATACTTTTTTTTATAGATTTTTCTAAATTTTTATACTTTCAGATTTTTATGAAAAATCTATAAAAAAAGTATTCCACAAGGTTTAGAAAATTTTAAATAACTAATATGTAATTTGATTTTTTAATTAGTGATTAGCACGAATGTGGTTAGTAAAGCTATATCAATGATCGAAAAGCAAAAGCAAATTGTATTTATCTTAGCCAACATTGAAATGCTCACATAGATTCACATTCATTCCACAACTCTTTGCTTCAGAGAAACATTCCTCTCATATGTAAGTCTATTTGACTATATTTCCATTCAGATTACTGTTTTTGCCATTTCGTTAAACAAAGTTAAATTTCTCTTTAATTTTTTACTCATTAATAGTGATAAGTCCGGAGACAAAGACGAAGGAAGCATCAGATTTTTGACAAGAAGAACATGCTATTTTCTGAAAAAGTCAATTTATGAAAAAGAAATGAAAAAAACCTATGGCAGCATGCATTACTTAAGAAAAGCCAAGAGTTAGCGAAAATCAACATAGCTAAAAAGCAAGAGGACTTTGCGAAAAAGATATAAAGGAGATTGAAGCTTTCAGGAAAATTCTTAAGAGGCAAAGAACTAGTCAAACATATTTCCTAGGAAAAAAAGCCATTTATGGAAACATTCAAAGCTTCTCAAATGTACCAAAAGAGAAGAAGTGTAGCAAATGCTTAATGGAAAACCAAACCGGTGTGTCTAATTGAGACTGAGAATAAGAGAAGGGAAGAGAAGAAAGTGGAGAGTAATATTGGGAGACCTAGGAGTTTATGAACTCAAGAACGTCACATGAAGTTTTTGGCTGCTATCTCTATCTTGGGAGACAATGGTAAGATTTCTATTCATTGTTGTTAACCATTTCTCATTTGTTTATATTATTTTCTTATACTCATTAATCCTACAGATTCTCATCCCAAATCCATATTGAGTATACTGAATGACCAAGATTTAAGTCAAAGTCAAGTCGGTAGCCACCTCCAGGTTCATATATACTTTTATTCTACATATAAACCGTTGTGATCTTATGATAGCCTTCTAATATCATTTTCATCATTACTTTCTTCTTTTCAGAAATACAAAGCTCAAGTTGAGTGAGTAAATGATTCATTGTCAAGGAATGAATGGAGATGACAAATAAAACATTTGAGTACCCTTCAGACTATGATATCCTTTCAATGCATCCAATTTAGCCAAGAATTTCATATCAGGTAATTCCTTTATTGTATTCTATAAAAAGAAAAATTATGTTCATCATCATTTAGCCAAGAATTTCATATATATTATAAAATATGTTGCTATAAAAGTTCAGATGTAAATTTAATATATGTGTGAATTGACTTAATACCAAAAAAGAAAAACCTATCAAAGTGTGTTTATTGCAACATATTTAATTCATCATTTGACTCGATAACATATATTCTTATATTAAATTTATCGTAACTTTCTATAAGAAATATAAAGTTTAATGATTTATTAAATATGTAGCGATAAAAGTTAAGATACACTTTTCTTCTTCACGTCTTTTATTTTTTACCTAGGTGAATGCAATTGCAAATGTTCTATTGTTTCTTCTATATATATATATATATATCCATGTTGTAATTGTTTCTCCATTAACTCAGTCTTTTATTCGAATATTTCTTATCATATATTTTGTTTTGGTAAAAGGAGAAAATGGCTGAAAATTTAGCTTTCGATTTTAACGAAATCAAAGTTCTTAAAACATATATGGTGATATGTTCATCCTCGTAATCGATCATGACAAATCAGTTTTTGCATCTCTCACTTCAATGGTTGAATAGAATTCATGTAAAGGTAAAATTAAATTAAATATACATGGATAACATAGTTTTTTTTGCAATATTTATCCAGCATTTAACTAAATAACATACTCTTAATCTAACATAGTTTTTTTGGGAAATAGGATTTCGAAAAATGAATTGGGAATTAGGGTTTCAAAATTTGAATTGGGATGTAATGAAAATTAGGGTTTGCTATTCTTTTCTCGAAATTTATGACAGCCAGAGATGTGATGATCATGAGTGCATGGATTGGATCGACCATGTATTCAATAATGATGTGTACATTTACTTGTTTGTAAACTTTTTGTACTTGTTTTTTTTGGTATTGCAAACAAACATCATATGTAAAACTTGTTATTCAATAATGATGGATACTCAAAGCTACTTATTTGCTTTATCCGTAGCCATTCCAATTTAAAATGTTTTTAGTTTAAACTTTCGCTCCTCATGTGCCTGCACTACATGAGTTATATAACAACTGAATGCGGAATTTGGCTGAAAAAAATAAATATTTTTTTTGTGGAATTTGGCTGATTAATTTGTAATATGAATGGTACAGCTGAATGTTGCTGAATGCGGAAAAAAATAATTGAAAAATTATTTGTGCAACAAAATAATAAATTATTTACCTAATTAAATTAATAAAATAAAAAATTTGTGAAATATTTAAATAATAGATTAATCAAAATAAATTATTTAAAATTTATCAAATTTAGGAATGTGGATTCATAAAATATTATTAAACATCAAAGTTTTTTTTATAAGAAATAGACATTTCAAGTACAATTCTTTTGATATTACCAATTCATTAATGAGAATCATTTATGTGCCTCTTATTTTGCTCTTGCAATTGTCTTATATGCATATAGCCCCAATATTGTTCCTTCTTGTTTTTGTATAATTTCTATTGCAATAATAATTAAAAAATATTTATTAAATTAAGTATTTTTAAACTAAAATATGTTTTAATTAATATTCACACCATATCCGAATATGCTCCTCTAAACATTTTATTCATATCTTTTTTGGATTCATAATTGTATTATTAAGATTCAATATCACACATTCCAAAAATCCAAATATTCGAAGCTGATCTGATTGGGTGTTGGATAATTTGCCTACCCATATGATATTTTTTTGGGTGATATTCTACAATTCTTCAATTATTCAAACTAGTGTTAGATTAATTTTTTTTCAAAAAAAAACATCCATATTCTTCAAAATTACTCAAGAGAATACACTAAAATAAAATAATAATTTTAAATAAGAATATGAACCTCAATTCCTCAATTTCCCAGTTATAAACCTTGATTCTTTCAATTTTTTTTTTTGTCGACAGCCTCTTCTTCTAAACCAACTGAGGAATCCAAGCTGGAGAAACAGAGTTTACACAAAACACATCCGTAGGTAGAACTCTAGCACTCCGTGCTAACTTGTCCGCCTTAGTGTTCTTCGTTCTTGGAATATGCACTATGGAGAAGGAGGTGAACTCCGTCCTACATCTGCACAATTCTTCTAGTATTGTTGCAAAAGCTGGCAACTCATCAGGTTTAGACACCATCTTTACCATATCGGAACAGTCCGTTTGAAACACTATTGTTAACTTCTTCTGCCGTAACATGCACTGCATAGCCCATACCAGCAATTCAGTTAAACATTATTGTGCTTTGGATTTTTTTCTTTTTGTAAATCAATTGAGGTCACACCAGTTTTCATCTCTTTCTTTGAAACTGAATTCTACACAATTCTTCACTTATTCTACAACTCTAACTGGTAACATACTTTAAAAATTAATCTACATTTATATAGATTCTTCAATTATTAAGTTACAACCTATGTATCCAAGAGATTTAGAGGGGTTCTTCCAAAAAAATAATAATAATAATAATAAGAAAATAAATTATAACATGGTACCATGATGTGGCGAATTTATAGGAAAAATGTCTCTTTGAGAAGAGATTGTGAAATCAATTCTCGAACATAGATTCAACACGTGTCATATCTTAATTGGTTATTTTTTTTTTCCTTTTTATGTTTTTTTTCCAATTTTTTTTTCCTAATAATATTAAATGTTAAAGAGCTCATCAACGGCTCCCCGATACGGATGCTCTAAGAATGCATGTTTTTTTTTTTTTTGATAAAATGTAAATAATATTACCAAAAGCAAAGAGTATAAATACAGATGCAGAAACCGCCGAGAACTTTCATGGCCCAAAAAAAATGGAAAAAGCCAATGAAAAGCTAAGAGAAAAGAAACAAGATCTAGACAATAACTTAGCTATAAGTAAACCAAATGGATAGAAGATCCGAGGAGCCTCTATCATGTCTTCTTGCGAGAAGAGTGTCTCTGATTATCCTGTCTAGCTGCTTGAAAATCACCTCTGTCGTCACGGAGATATCACCATGGTTTCTACTATTTCTTTCTCTCCAAAGAATGTAGATTGTTGCTTGGCATACTAGATTTCGGAGAAACTTTAGCTTTGGCTGTCTGGTAGAAGATAACATCCATTGTATCAACTCCTCCCAGTTATGAAAAGGAATGGAGTGAAATCCCAATCGTTGCATGATAAGAGTCCAGACCTGAGATGAGAACTCACAGTGAAGAAAACGATGATCCCTATTTTCGTCATGGAGATGGCAGATAGTGCAAACCGGATTTACATTCAAACCCCACTTTGCTAGTCTCACATTGAGAGGGAGTCTATCAAGATTTGTAGCCCAGAAATTGAAAGCATGTTTAGGAACATTTTTCTTGAACCAAACTGCTTTGAACCACCGTTTTTCAGTTTGTCGTGGTCTTAGAATATCCCAGGTCTTCTTTGTTGAAAAGTTTGTAGATTTTTGGTCAGGCGGACCCCAAAGAAAAGTATCGGCTCCATTCGCAGGTGAAGGAGGTTGCATGGTTTGGAGAAGAGATCTCAAGACTGCAATCTTTAAGTTTCTTGTCCGGGAACGAGCATTCCAATCATGAGAGTAGTACGCTTGAGTCAAGGAAGCTTGAACTGGGATTCCCATGAGACGTGGCCCATTTTCCCCAACAAAATGAATCAGCGGACCATGAACACACCAATTATCGTACCACAAGTTGATCATCGTCCCATCTCCAACTGAACTGGTGAAAAGGTTTCTAGCAAGAGGACGAAGGGAGATCAGAAATTTCCATATCCATGAATCCGTGCTTTTTTCACCAATGGTCCAAAAGAAATTCCGCTTGAGGCGATGTTCAAGCGTCCAAGCAACCCACAAAGAATCAGTGTTAGAGAAAAGTAACCACACCAGTTTAAGATTAAGAACTTTGTTCCACACCAGAAAATTCCTGAGACCAAGACCGCCCTCAGATTTTGGTAAACATATCCCTTTCCAAGAGATCTTTGCCGAGGTGTGTTTTGTGAGATCTCCCGCCCAAAGGAATTTATTGCAAAGTTTCTCAATATCCTTGAGACAGCCCTTTGGCAAAGAGAAGGCACTGAACCAGAAGTTAACAAGGCTATAAATAACCGAGGAGATCAACTGCAACCTTCCAGCGAAAGTGAGACCTTTTACTGTCCAGCTATTAAATTTTGCCTTAATCTTGTCTGTGAGCGGTGAATAGTCAGCCTTTCTCAATTTCCTATGAAGCAGAGGAAGACCCAAATAACGGATCGGAAGCGAACCCTTTTGGAACCCGAAAATATTTAGAGCTTCAGATTCCTCTGGGTTCAATCCCGCCAAGAACAAATCTGTTTTCTCTCTATTCATACACAGACCAGAGAGCTGCTTAAAGTCCTCCAGAGTAGACGAGATTCCTTGTAGAGAAGACCCTTTTCCATCAAAAAAGATAACAATGTCATCAACAAACGCTAAGTGAGTTATTTTTGGATTTCTGCCCAGAGGATGGTATCCGATAGAGCATGAATCAAAAGCCGATGTGAGGAGATTTGAGTAAGCTTCCATCGCTATGACAAACAAAGAAGGGGATAGAGGATCTCCTTGTCTCAGCCCTCTGGTCCCCTTGAAAAAGCCACATAGATCTCCATTAACGCTTATAGAGAAGGAGGATGTGGTGAGACACTGAGATATCCAATTTACGAACAAGGGAGGGAAATCTGCTGTCAAGAGAATGTGGAGAATAAAGTCCCAATTGACACAATCAAACGCTTTCCTTAGGTCAACCTTTAGAAGCCCTCTTTTAGTAATGTTTGAGTTCTGGAAACCTTGGACCATTTCTGTGGCCAAAAGCACGTTATCCACCAACAATCTACCTTTAACAAAGGCTGATTGAGAGTTTGTGACCATACTTGGTGTTACCTCTTGAAGTCTTCGAGCCAAAATCTTAGAAATGATCTTGTAAACGACATTGCAGAGAGATATAGGTCTGAAATCCACAAGTTTATCAGCTCCTACTCTTTTTGGGATCAAGGAAATTGCTGTGCAGTTCCATTGCTTTAGCATCTGGCCAGACCTGAAAAACTCCAGAACTGCTTTTATAATATCATGTCCAACTATATCCCAAGATTTCCTATAAAATTCTCCAGTGTATCCATCTGGACCAGGAGTTTTATTCCTAGGAAGAGAGAAGACTTCAAACTTCACATCTGCTGCAGTAACCTCTGCTTTTAGAAGCTCTTTTAGTTGATCGCTGCATCTGAATTTTGTGAGGTCTGAGATCTTGTCAGCACTTGCTGGCAGAAGAGGACTTGTTGGGGCTCCAAAGAGATCTTGAAAATACTCCACACAATGGGATTTAACTTCACCTATTTTATCCAGTCTCCTTCCCTCTGAGTTTATGAGGTAATGAATCTGGTTTGTAGAGCGACGTTGAGCAACCATTTTGTGAAAGAAAGCTGTGTTTCCATCTCCACTTTCCAGCCATTTAACTCTAGATCTTTGCTGCAAAAACCTCTCTTCTGCAAGAGAAAGAGTATGCCACGTTTTATGTGTCTCTTTCTCACGAATTGCAAGCAAGTGGGTCGGATTAACAAGCAAATTCCCTTGACTTTCGAGTAGTCTTGAGTGCGCCTCTTTTACCCTGTTTTCCAAATCAGAGAAATGCTTTGTTTATATCTCTCAATTCATTCTTCAAAAGCTTCAGTTTTCTTGATAAGGAGAACATAGCGGATCCAGCAAAAAACATCTCCTGCCATTTGATTGCCACTCTAGGCAGAAAATCCGGATGATGCAGAAGGAAATTTGAAACCATGAAATGCCTTTTAGTCTGCAACCGGTCTCCGAAGATGATGCAGCTGGGGCTATGATCTGAGAACTCAGGGTTTCCAAAATGAGCATAAGCTGAGGGATAATTGAGGAGCCACTTATCATTAATAAGGATTTTGTCCAGCTTCTTAGCAATCAACTCCAAAATGAGCATAAGAATGCATGTTGTGCACCTTCTGACAGCACCAAAGCACCCGTAAATCTTTTTCGTTTACAAATTGTTACATCTGTTTTTTTTTTGTGATTGATTCACTATGAAACAAACTACATGCATGCATGGAAATTATCCGTTCAATATGCAGGTATAATGGCAAAACATATTGCTTTCAGTGATGATTGAAACAACCAATTTTTTTTTTTTTTATGAATAAATCCTAAACAATTCTAGTGAAGTCTGAAATTAAATTACGTAAGTAAATATCAATAACATTGTGTGTATAGTATATACTTTTGAAGGTTTTACACCTTATTGTTAAAATAATTGCTCAATACTGCTAAAGATTTAATAATTACTTCAAAGCCGTTATAAATGTATTTGGACATGGATATATTAAAATCAGATTTACCATTACTCATGTGTGTATAGTATGAGTGAAGTTGGAGATAAGAATGATGGCAATATCAGATTAAAAATGATTAGTCATGTTGAAACAACCAACATTTTTTTTATTAAATAAATAAATTAAATAAGAATTCAGCGGAAGTTTTTAAATAGATAAATAAATATAAATTAGGTTCAACAAAAGAATTCAGATAAATAATAAAAGAAATATTAGCAACCTAAACACCAGGTACTAGCAAGTCAAACAATATAAAACAATAAAAACAGTAAACATCCTATCATCCCCTATTCAGCCTTAATTCTGCGATCACACAAATCTTTTACCTGCAACACATTGTAATGGAGTTTCGTAGTGAGACAATCGAGGTCAAAAAAAAAAAACTTAGTGAGACAATCACCCTGCCTACATGCCATTTACGCAATTACTATCAAATAGTATTAATAATAATTCTCAATAATTATTAATTTCCTTTTTTCAATTACTAAATAATTCTCATAATTAAATAATAATTTTCCATATTTAAAATAATTTAAATCATTATTTTAAACCATTTATTTATTTAAAATACTTATTAATTAATTAAATCTGAAATAACCAGATAACCATAAATTAAATTGATTAAACCAAAATCGATTTCAATTGGACCAGACTGGACCAGCTTAGGTTGACAGACGCAGATAATTTTGCGTCGACCGACGCAAGCTTTGCGTCGCCCCACGCACATCTCTCATGTCGACAGAGATATCAACAAATCACGCAGAAACTCGGAATTAACACAGAAATTAACCAAACATCATCACATAAACCTCATATCAAAATAATACCTCAAGAACAACATTCAATCAATTCGGATCTAGTGATTTGCGGACCTACAATCATGCACTCACCTCGGATTGGATTAAAAACGGGAAAGGAGGAGATAGACCACGAAGAACAATGAAGATTAGCACGAACTAGCCTCAGATCGATCCTGAACACCACGAACTCGCCCCGAATTGCCTCTCCTCTTCTCTAATCCCGCAAAATGACAAAAGACCAGCTCCTGGACGACGGCTGCGTCTTTTAACTCGCGAAATAGGGTTTCCAGAACCAAACCGGGCTAAACCGGCCCAATTCCACTCAAATTGAACTGGGTCCGATTTTGAAATTCTTGCGTCAACCGACGCAATGGTTGCATTGGTCCCCGACACAATATGGTGAGAAGTTAGACGATGTGAGAATCATGGAGAAAGTTCTTAGATCGTTAGATCCAAAATTCGAGCATATTGTCACCGTCATCGAGGAGACAAAAGATCTGGAGTCTATGACTATAGAGCAACTTCTTGGGTCATTACAAACTTGTGAAGAAAAGAAGAAGAAGAAGGAAGATATTGCAGAACAAGTACTCAAGATGTGTATTGTTCATGATAAAGAAGAAGGTGATAGAAGCCATCCAAGACGAGGAGGCAGTCAAGCCCGAGGACGAGGTCATGGATATGGAAACGGACGAGGTTGGAGACCAAATGAAGACCGCACCAACCAAAGAGGAGAAAATTCATCAAGAGGCCGTGGAAGAGGAAGTCCAAAATCAACGTACGATAAGTCAAGCATCAAATGCTACAATTGTGGAAAGTTTGGACATTATGCTTCTGAATGTAGAGCTCCAAACAACAATAGAGTTGAAGAGAAGTCCAATTAAGTAGAAGAAATCAGTCAAGAAGGTGACATGCTTCTAATGGCATACAAGAAGGGTGAACAAGATGAAGTTCAGAAATGGTACCTCGACAGTGGTGCAAGCAATCACATGTGCGGAAAAACAAGCATGTTCGTGGAGCTTGATGAATCCATCAAGGGAGATGTGGCTTTAGGAGATGAGTCGAAGATGAAGGTGAAAGGTAAAAGAAATATTCTCATCCGATTGAAGAATGGAGACCATCAATTTATTTCCAATGTTTACTACATTCCAAATATGAAGACCAACATCTTGAGCCTTGGACAACTCTTAGAGAAAGGTTATGATATCCGACTAAAGGATAATAATCTTTCAATAAGGGACCATGAGAACAATCTCATTACCAAGGTGCCAATGTCAAAAAATAGAATGTTTGTCCTAAACATTCAAAACGACATTGCAAAGTGTCTCAAGATGTGCTACAAGGAGGAGTCTTGGCTTTGACATTTTCGATTCGGACATCTCAACTTTGGAGGGCTGGAGCTACTATCCAAGAAAGAAATGGTGAGAGGATTTCCCAGCATCAACCATCCAAATCAAGTGTGTGAAGGGTGTTTACTTGGAAAGCAATTCAAAATGAGCTTTCCAAAGGAGTCAGAGACAAGAGCCCGGAAGCCACTAGAACTCATACATACATATATATGTGGTCCGCTCAAACCAAGATCACTCGGTAACAATAACTACTTCCTTCTCTTTATTGATGATTTTTCAAGAAAAACATGGATTCATTTTTTAAAAGAAAAATCAGAAGTTTTTGAAAACTTTAAAAAGTTTAAAGCCCATGTCGAGAAGAAAATTGGTCTTTTAATCAAAGCCATGAGATCCGATCGTGGAGGGGAGTTCATGTCCAAAGAATTTTTGAAGTATTGTGAAGATAACGGCATTAGAAGACAGTTGACGATGCCGAGAACCCCTCAACAAAATGGAGTAGCGGAAAGGAAGAACAGGACAATCCTTGAGATGGCGAGAAGCATGCTCAAAAGTAAAAACCTACCAAAAGAGTTGTGGGCGGAAGCAGTTGCATGCGCAGTGTATCTATCAAACCGATCTCCAACAAGAAGCGTTTCAGGAAAAACACCACAAGAAGCTAGGAGCGGAAGAAAGCCCGGTGTTTCACATCTACGAGTCTATGGAAGTATTTCTCATGCTCATGTACCGGACGAGAAGCGGAGCAAGCTAGATAATAAAAGCGAGAAATACATCTTCATTGGTTATGACGCCAACTCCAAAGGCTACAAGCTCTACAATCCTGAGACAAAGAAGACAATAATCAGTCGAAATGTCATATTTGATGAAGAAGGAGAATGGGATTGGAGATCCAATGATGAAGATTATAACTTCTTTCCCCACATTGAAGAAGAGGATCTGGAGCAACCAGCAGAGGAACCTATTGCGCCACCTACTCCACCAACTCCGCCAACAACAAGTTCTCAAGGAGATGAAAGTTCAAGCGAAAGGTCTCCGCGGTTTAGGAGCTTGCAAGAGATTTATGAGGTAACTGAAAATCAAGACAATCTTACCTGATTTTGTCTTTTTGCGGAATGTGAGCCCATGAATTTCCAAGAAGCCATGGATAAGGAAACATGGAGAAATGCAATGGATGAAGAAGTAAAGTCGATACAGAAGAGTGATACATGGGAGTTAGCTTCACTTCCAAATGGGCATAAGGCGATTGGCGTGAAGTGGGTTTACAAAAAAAATAAGAACTCTCAAGGAGAAGTTGAGAGATACAAGTTAAGATTGGTCGCAAAGGGCTATAGTCAAAGAGCTGGAATCGACTATGATGAGGTATTCGCTCCTGATGCTTGACTTGAAACTGTTAGACTTATCATTTCATTGGCAGTCCAAAAGAGTTGGACGATACATCAAATGGATGTCAAATCAGCCTTCTTAAATGGAGACCTTGAAGAAAAAGTTTACATTGAGCAACCACAAGGCTACATAGTCAAAGATGAAGAAGACAAAGTTTTGAGGTTAAAGAAGGCGCTTTATGGGCTAAAACAAGCACCCAGAGCTTGGAATACTCGGATCGATAAGTATTTCAAGGAGAGAAACTTTATCAAGTGTCCATATGAGCATGCATTATATATCAAAATCCAAAACGAGGATATATTGATTGCATGCTTGTATGTTTAGATGACTTGATATTTACAGGCAACAATCCAAGTATGTTCGAGGAATTCAAGAAGGAGATGACGAAGCAGTTTGAGATAACCGATATTGGATTGATGTCTTACTATCTTGGAATTGAAGTGAGGCAAGAAGAATCTGGAATCTTCATTACTCAAGAAGGCTATGCTAAAGAAGTATTGAAGAAGTTCAAGATGGATGACTCGAATCCAGTTTGCACACCAATGGAATGTTGTGCCAAGTTGTCAAGACGCGAAGAAGGAGAAAGTGTGGATCCAACACTCTTTAAGAGCTTGGTTGGAAGCCTATGTTACCTAACGTGCACAAGACCTGACATCTTGTATGCAGTCGGAGTTGTAAGCCGATACATAAAGCACCCAACAACAACTCACTTCAAGGCAGCCAAGAGGATCCTTCGCTATATCAAAGGTACATTAAACTTTGGCTTGTACTATTCTGTTTCTGACGACTACAAGTTTGTAGGATATAGCGATAGCGACTGGGGTGGAAACGTGGATGACCGGAAAAGCACAAGTGGCTTTGTGTTTTTCATTGGAGATACAGCCTTTACATGGATGTCAAAGAAGCAACCAATTGTCACCCTTTCCACCACTGAAGCAGAGTATGTAGCGGCTACTTCGGGTCCGATTGGTGACGTTGTGAATAGTGGTGTGTTACAGAATTTTCAGTGGTACGAAAGATAGTTGTACGAAAAACAGTGGTAAGAAATACAGCAGTACAAATAGAGATAGTACAAAATGATAGTACATAGTTAACATCCGATTGGTAACATTATGACGGTACAAATAGTGTATTTTTAAATAAAATATAAATTATTTAATTATTCAAAATTAAAATAATGTCTAAAAATATAACACAACTTTTATTTTGTTATAACATTACCAACACCTTCACTTAGTAAAAAAAATATTACATATAAACTACAAATTCTTTAAATACATAATATTTTAAATGTACAAAAAATTGATAATTAATATTGTTTGAAACCATCACATATTAATAGTGTTCATTGTTTTTTTTTCTTCTTATTGTGTAATTACAATTACTCATAGTTTATTTAAATGTCTAAAAATCCTAAATTAGACCTACATAATAGTATTTTAAATGTTTATATTGAAATTAAAAAAATATTAAATTAAATGTTGTTATATGATGTGTGGATATATTTGATGTTAACAAATTCAATATTCAACAATTATCATTAGTTCGCCCATTATTTAAATAATTAATACATATTATTAACAACTTCAGCTCTAAAATATTGTCACTTTACCATTAAAATTAACCAATCTCAAAGGAAATTAAAATAGAACACAGATTAATGATCAACCAGACATTTATATTTTTTAGAATAAACAAAATAGATTAGACTGTTTCTTTATATAAACAATAAATAAAGTCAAAATAAAAGTAGTGGTACATGATGGATGTTTTGTAACGTTGCTTCTTGGTGGTAAAAACTTGTACCATTGTTATACACATTGTACTATCTATTTAAGTAGCATAAACACTGTTCGGTGATGTTTTGTTTGTAATGCTGTTTTACATAATGCTTCTCCAACTACTCTAGTGATTGGTTACAACACATGTGTTACAACTTGTACCACTATGTTTATCGGTCACCAATCAGAGCCTTCATGTGTTTTCCATGTTATTTGGCTGCGAAACCTATTAAAGGAGTTGAGCCTACCACAAGAGGAGGCTACAAATATCTTTGTTGACAAAAAATCCGCAATAGCATTGGCGAAAAACCCAGTCTTCCATGATCGAAGTAAGCACACTGATACTCGGTATCACTATATTAGAGAATGTGTTGCCAACAGGGATGTTCAGTTGGAGTATGTGAAGACGAATGATCAAGTAGCCGATATCTTCACCAAGCCACTTAAACGTGAAGATTTTATCAAGATGGGGAGTTTGCTTGGAGTAGCAAAATCAAGTTTAAGAGGGGGTGTTGAAAGGTAAACTTGATTTTGGATCAAGTTTAATTTGGGCCAAATCTAATACTTAGCCCAAGCTCTAGAACTCTCTCTAGAAATATCTAATTCTCCACCTCCTTAATAAGTTCTAGAAAATTACAGAGAATAAAATATCTAAACATGTTTTAGATAATTGTAATAAAATAATCTAGATATTAACTAAGAACCAAGAAGAGAAGAATAAAGAACCAAGAATTAAGAGAATCAATATTCAAGAAGTGTTAATAAAAAGTTTTTCAAAGAAACTAAAATCTTCGTCTTTTCACTTCTTCTTAAACACTTTCTCCATCACTTTAAATAAGCTTTCCTTCAAACACACAATTTGTTATCTATAATTTCAGATAAGTAGCATGAAAGTAACATCACATTTGCCACTAAAAATGTCCAAGAATGGCCAAATGTGATTGAAATCACCGCATAAGGAATATAATTAACTTTGCCAACATAGATTATACATAGTGAAGGTTCAACAATTGGATCACCAGTATTTAGTAAATTTTCTAAACTTGAGTTTTGTGGTATCCTCTCACGAATTCGAAAAGAATGGAAAAAATACAACACTAGCGATTTATAACATAGTGAGTTAAATAAGGTTAAGAGATGATTAACTACCTCAAACAGAAAACAAAATCACTAATTTTTTTTTTCTTAAAAGGGGATAAATTGTTAAGCACAACATAAAATGACTGAGCATGAGCCACAGCATAAAATGACTGAGCATGAGCCAACTAATTTTTAAAGAATAATACATATAACTTTACTGATTTACAAAAAGAAACAATCAAATATGAAATATTTTAACATTAAACTATGACGACAACATTTAGTCTCTCATGTCAATAATACAAACTCGTATAATGTAGGTTCTATTAATAAATTATTAGTACATAGATTTTGGCGATAAAAAAACTCAGCAATGATGCGTGCATGTGCAGTTATGATGCTGATGCATCAATTGTGTGTTCAAAACATCCCTGTTATCTTTGCAGTGACATTGAATAGCTTTTGTTTCAGTTTTTCCAATGCATATAAGATAATGGCCGCAAAATCCTGGGTACGTCTCAACGCTATGACACACCTTTGGCTGCCGAGCTTCCACATCTAGTATATTGTATCAACAACAACAAAATGTACAATTGTAGTTTTAGTACAATTTTTTTTAATAATGAATCAATTCAAACTTTAGAACCGCCTCTTTTCTTCTTCTTGTTTTGTTCTCTTTTATCAGAGAACCACTTTTACGATTAGTAATAATCAATACTTTGAACTCTTAATGGGTAAATCTATCAAAATTAAACAGAAGTTGATTTCTTACCTTGAACATGACTCAAAACGAGTGAGACAAAAAGGTAAAAAACCATAAATAAGGTAGCAGAAGATCTCATGACTCAAATATAATTTATAGAAAGAAAAAAAAAATCTCTTACTTGCAGAAACTGTTTTTTATGTGTGTAATTGTTGTAAAGAAAATATGTTCTTCTTCTTTCTTTTTTTGCATCAACATTCGTAGTTAATATATGCAATACATTCTAAATTTAACTATTTTAAAAATTAGGAAAAAGGAAAAGACAAGGCTATGGCTATTTAAGCGAAGTCAACGAGATTGGTAATGTTTTTAGAAATTTTATTCTTACAAAATTCACTTGTGTCCATATTTTTCTGTACTAACTATGGTTACTGTAGTTGACAAAGTCAATAAGCGAAGAAACTGAATTGAGCAAAAGTGTACGTGTAATGACTCCTAAAATATCAATGTTTGTTTGATGCTAAATTTTGGAAAATACCGTTATATAATAGGTTTTGTGCAAAAAAAAACTCTAAACTAAATTATTTTTGCAAGAAAAACCCTTACCTCAAAAAAATATAAGTTAAACCACTCACCTCCAAAGTCACCCGCAATATAGCCCCTGCCTATATTGATGACGTGGCATTTTCAGAATCTTTTTAAAAATTAGGTTTTTGTGCAAAAAAAACCTCAAACTATTTTTTTTGCAAAAAGAGCCCCCGTATCAAAAGCTGCGTTTTGATTAGTCCAGTGCATTTCGGTTTTTGGGACGGGAATGAGAAATTTGGGAAACAAAAGATGATACCCGAAGTATTCCCTTATTATAACGGGACCGGAAATGACGGGAATGGAAGATAACAGGAAATTTGAGAAGAAAAAAAATAATTCCCGAAGTCTTACTAAATCAGGAAAATTGAAGATATTTTGGGAAATTACGGGAAAAATATGGAAAATATGGAAAAATACGGGAAATTATGGGAAAATATGGGAAAAGATATTTAAGAAAAAAAATATTTTTCAATTTTTATTTTTTTAAACGGGAAAATTGGGAAGTCTTGTACCCTTCTCGAACCCTTCCTTTACCCGTTTAAATAAAAGAATTGTTCCCAAACAGGAAATTCTGTTCAAAGTTAAGGAAAGGGTTCGGAAAGGGTACAGATTTTCCGATTTTTTCGTTTTAAAAAATAAAATGATATATATACATTTTTAAATATCCCAATTTTTCCTATATTTTCCCATAATTTCCGTATTTTCATATTTTTCGTATTTTCCCGTAATTTCTCAAAATATCTTCAATTTCCCGATTTAGTAAGGCTTCGGGAACTAATTTTTCATTCTCAAATTTCCCGTTCTCTTCCCATTCCTGTTACTTCCCGTCCCGTTATAATAAGGAAATACTTTGCATATCATCTTTGGTTTCCTAAATTTCTCATTCCCGTCCCATTTTCGTTAATTCCCGTCCTAAAAACCAAAATGCACTGGGCTAATCAAAACGCAGCTTTTGATACGAGGGCTCTTTTTGCAAAAAAAAATAGTTTGAGGTTTTTTTTGCACAAAAACCTAATTTTTAAAAAAATTCTGAAAATGCCATGTCATCAATATAGGCAGGGGCTATATTGCGGGTGACTTTGGAGGTGAGTGGTTTGCTTTATTTTTTTGAGATGAGGTTTTTCTTGCAAAAATAATTTAGTTTGGGTTTTTTTGCACAAAACCCTTATATAATGTATATAAAACTATTTTTAAAAATAATAATTGGGCGAAATTCGTATATAATGTAACACTGATGTTGTCGTGATGGAAGTAGTCCATGTGATTAACAAGAAACTTGTTCATATTGTTCTCTTTTAGCAATCTTTTAACCTTACTCATTTTATCATTCACTAGTAAAGAAATAGAGATTTTTTTTTATCAAAAGCAATCATCATAAACAAATGATGATCGAACTTATTATTTCTTCGTTAATATTACATAAAGAACTTTAAAGTTCATCTTTAAGGGAAGCCGAGGAAGATCCAGAAGGATTAGTGTCCGAGTTCTTGATAGGATAAGAAGCTTCCATTGCAATACCACATAGTCCTTCTTTATGATGGATCCCTCTTTGCATCCTTATGTATCCTTTCTCTCCCCAATCTTCACCCCAAGAGTTCTTAACGATCCAATATTTTGTTCCGTCTATTGTTGTTCCATAGCCTACTGCCGCAACTCCATGGTTTAGCTCTGTTCCACATTGCCCCGAAAACACTCCCTACGATGCCATGCATGCGTTAGACAAAGATCCTTAAACTAATGTTACTTCTGTTTCATAACAAGTGTTGTTGACTTGTTGTGAGACGACCTTTTTTTAGATAAAGTTCAATTTATTATTATTCTATCAAAAACTTATAAGTGTATTAATTATAGGAATTATAAAACTTTCAAGTTTTGTTCTTAATTTGCATTAAAAAAAAAAACTCTAAATGGACGCTTATAAAATTATATGAAACGGTGATACTACATGTGAATTTTGTTTATGTGTGTTCTGTTTTTTTTTTACCTCATGGTAGAATTGAAACTCTGAACCTCCAGCATCAATAGCAACAGAGACAGGCTGATGAGCAACAGCTTTCATTAGACCATCCTCGCTGTTCGCAGGAACATCTTCGTGTCCATCGATTGAAACCACCGGAGCATTTTCCTAAGAATTATTATTATTATGAAGTATGTCAGTTCTCATCATTACCACTCTATATTCCTTAATTCTTAGATAACGTGTAATATGTAATAAACCTTTTTTTTGTCGCAAGTTTCATCAGAAGCTAGGTAAGGGTACACTAGATCGCTCGTGAGTCCTCCTTTCTCCTTTATGAAATCAAAAGCGATATCCATCAAACCTCCACTGCACCCTTGATTCTCATTCGTATCACAGTCCACTAGCTCTTGCTCTGATAGTGATGTCAGCCTTGTGGTTCTTATTTGGTTGATCCCTTCCACAGCCGCAACTGTTGAGAACGCCCAACAGCTTCCTGTAATAACCACAAAACTTAGTCTTCAATATAGTACATGAAGAAAACATAATATTGAAGCATCAATGAAAAGAAGGTTTAACCGCATGAGCCTTGGTCTTTGACAGAAGTGACAGCTCCATTCTTTCTCCAATCAACAGAGGTCGGGAGTGCATCTACATTTGCATACATGAAGCTTCCATTGGCTCTTCTTTCGCCTTGAAGCATCCTATGATGTTTGATGTTTGAACCAGCGTATGTTTTTCTAAATTCCTCACTGGTCATGTCACCAAACTTATTGAGCTTGAGCTTGTAAGGTTTGTCTTTCTTGTTGGTCTCGTGGATGTGCCTCACGTTGTGCTTGAACACGTTGAACCTCTTTGCCTTCTCTTCAAGGCTCCTAGAAATTGTGTGGTGGCTCCTCCACCGCTCGTATAGCCCCCACAAGCTATCCTCCGACTCCAAATCTTTGTCATGGAAATCTAAACCCTTTGTGGTTTCAAGAATCATAAGCAAGAAAAGCGCAAGAACAATGAAACGCTTCATGTTTTTCGTATGTGGTGCTTTTTGTATGTTCTTGTACTTGAGATTGAGTTTGTGGATATCAAGGACTAAAGAGAAACTGTTTATATAGGGAATATATCGTTGTGACTAATGACGATATGTAATGAAAAACACCAAAAGAGGTTAGAAGGTTACTTGTGGGATTGAACAAATATTTCAGGTTAGTGACTGACGATTAGGATACATTAATTAATGGAGTATAAATATATTCAAACTATATAATTGAACTTTATTATGAAAATGGTGTGAATGCCGTGATCATATGTTGCAAGCAAGGTCTTTTGTTTTGTCCTTATTTTTTGTAACAATAATTGGTGCTTTTGAGATATATTCAGCTATAAGTTAGGTGTAAAATGACATTTTTATAGGAACCACTGTTATTGATATTTGATAATAAACACAACTTTTTTTACCAAAAAAAATAAACACAACTTGTTCGCAACAATTTATCTATAATAGTAAGTTAGGAAACTTTTATTGATTTCACCTAATTATTAAGATTAATATTGTGATTGTGCATATTTTCGGATACTTTGGAAAATCCGTGTGTTAGTTTCCTACTATTAACGAAACTCATTAATGATTACGTTTTTTTTTGTCACAAGAAAGATATTTTGTTTCCTTCAGTTTAAATAAGAGAACAAAACTGTTTGGTACTATGTATTATATGTGTTTTTAAATAAATAAAATTGAATTTGGATATAAATGTTTTGTTAGTTTTCATTTTTGGGGTCAAAACTAGCTACATTATGTTTTCTATTTGTCATTTGATTCTAACCAACATTCTACATTAATTTAAATCTTTATACCTGTATATCTTAATTGTAACTTGTAACCTATAAAGACAAAGAGTATTATTAGGGAAATGGATCCTCACTAGCTATTGTTAGATTCCTACTATTCAAGCCAAGATCAGTATTTGTCCATTCAATAATCGATTGGAAGTCACAAAAACCATTATTTTTGATAAAAGATTTATTAATTATTGGTTAACTTTAAAAACGCATAAAACCCAATATTTTTTATCCTTCTCTAACTACTGTCAACTGAAACACATTACAATAATTGATGTCTAAAGACTGGAGAGAGAGGTGTATAAATTGATGAAGAACAAAAAAAAATAGAGAGGATAAATGTTAAATATAAGAAATAAAAAGAAGGAAAATGATGGTAAGTGTGAAGTGTGTGCTTTACAACTGATATTGGGAAAAAGCTGTTAAATAAAACCAAAAACACACTAAAAGGTAACTGAAAGCGAACAAAAAGATAAACCCGGACGATGGACACACGCCAGCAACACCAACAAAGTTAAAACGCGAGAAAAAGGTTTTCTGCAAAATGTAACCGATATAATCTTACCGTTATTTCCTTTTTTTTTTTCTTCTTTCCGAGAAAATTTAATGGAATGACGAAAGTACGAAACCATTATCATAAAGTACATAAAACTTTTAGCGAAAAAGAAAAGAAAAAAAAAGTATACGGTTAAAAAATTAAAACACACATTTTGAGTATACTAATTAAACATAATATTTTGTACGTACACTGATAAATATGTATGTTTGCCTTTACTATGTCAGTATTTTATGAAACTTTTTGTTTAATCTGATTATGGTATTAAACTGATATTTTGTGATGTTTTATATATTTTTTATTTTTTTTTGTGAGCTCACTAACTTTGGCACCATACAAAAAATCAGCCAACGACTCAATTTCACCATTTACATAAAAAACGCTAATAACTAACTTTTACTATGGGCTTTTTTTTTTTTTTGTGGATGTAGATGTTAGTATTGTAAATTTTTTATTATAATTAATTTCTTGTAGAATATCATAAATGTAGCATTAAAAATAAATAAAAGAGATATAGGAAATAAACATTTAAAAATGAATATAGAGAATGAGATTAAGGAATGAGAAGAGAGAGAATTCTCAGAGTCCTTAAATTTGTGCTCTAAGCCAAAATATTTCCATATTTAAAATTATGGTTCTGAACTTAAAAAATGAAATAAAAACAATAATTTTATTGAATAAAAGAAAAAACCCTAAGGCGACGGCGATGGCGATTTTCAAGATCTACGAATGATTTTCGGTGGGGATTCTGTCTCCGGGATACGGTTCCCTTTATCGGTTCTCTGGCGGCGTTATGAAGAAGATTTCGGTGTGTTATACGGAAAACTAAATCGATCTGCGGAATATTATGAGGATTTTCGGAGATCTCACGGAATTGAGAGATCTGGGTTTTTGGAGGGACAAGATACGAGTCAAATTTCGATATCGATTAACTCTGATTTAGTTAAGTGTCGGAGTAATGAAGGGGATATTGTGGAAGATTGGGTTCAAATGGGCGGAGGATCTCTGAGATCCGGAGAAAATATCTACTCGGAAGATTCAAATGGAGGTGATACGAATCAAGTTAGGATATTCATATGCCTTTTCCTATCTCGAGGAGAAGATTTGGGGAGAGAATTGAATCCCTCCGGATCGGAATCGGAGGAGTCATGAGGAAAATCTCGACGGAGTGGTTTTGGGAAATATGAAAGAACGGATCGGGGGAAAAAGGAAAACGGGATTAACTCCTCAATCAGAGTTTGGAAACAATGGCGGAGAATCGTTTCACTGCGGGATTGGGCGGTTGGGTTTCAGCTTATTCTCCGGGTAATCAATTTCATCACATATTCTCGGGGATCTATTTTATGGTGGTTTAGGAATATTGTGGATTATCTCAATATTTTGTTGAGAGATTTGTTTGAGATTTCTCTGGGATTTGGAGAGTGGATAATTTATTGGGAGTCACACTATAAAATGATACTCGAAGCTTGTGATCTTACGCATTCTTTCGTTCGAGTCGTTTATTGTGATTTTCCGAGTTTGATCTCTCTTCTCGCCTGTCTGTTCCTCAGTGTTAACACACCTTTGTGTTTTCGCTTTTTCGTGCAAGGTGTTACGATGGATCAAGGAGGTCTGATCGGTGGTGGTGGATCCAGCAACGGCGACAAGAAACAAGGGACTCGACTGAAGATCACGGTTCCGAAGTTTGACAACACGGCGCTAATCAGAGGCTACTCTCGAACTCTGATTGGCCGATGCATGAACCCGGCGGCTCAAGACGTTCAGGCGCTGTTGCATCACATGCCCCGTTTTTGGAAGATGGAAGATAGGATCGCTGGTGCAGATTTGGGCATGGGTCGTTTCCAGTTTGACTTCGACAATGAGGAAGACATTGTGGAGGTTTTTAAGCTTGAACCTTTCCACTTTGACTATTGGATGATCTCGTTGGTGAGGTGGGAACCGGTGATGGATCCGAGATACCCTTCGGCAATTAACTTTTGGGTGAGGATGATGGGGATTCCTCTTCACTTCTGGGCGGAACCTACTTTTCGAAGTATTGGGGAAGCTCTTGGTGAAGTATTGGAGGTTGATATTGATGTTGGACAGGTGAAGGTGTGTCTCGAGGGGTACAAGCCGCTGGTGTTTGAGACCACAGTGGAGTTCCACAGTGGGGAAGAGACAATGGTGAACCTTCGCTATGAGCGGCTCTTTGGCTATTGTAGAGAGTGTTTCAGCCTCTGCCACGGCGTGTTGCAATGTCCGATTCTTCGACGGGCTAGAGAGGAACGGGTCATCAGAGGAAAAAAGATGAGAAGCCAGACGGAGGTGCATATTGAGCTACAAAGGTGTTGTCATTAACGGACCAGGAGGTGACAATGGACCGGTGAGGCACACTCACAACACCAATGTGGGAGACCCAAAGGGAAAAGGAAAGGTAGAGGAGAGCAGAGAGGAAAGGGGGAAGAAACAGATGACCTTCCGGGGAAATGGAAAGCATGGTGGTGAGAGTTCCGGGACCCAGCGTAAGCCGGGGGGATATGCTCCTCCGGAACAGAGGAAGAGGGTCAATAGACCAACGGCGGCACTCCGGATCTCGGGGAGTAATGTGGCGGACAAGGCGGTGACGGTTCCAAGAGGGAATGACCCTAGCCCCAACCAACACTCGGCAAAGAAAGTGAGAAAGGCACTTGATTTTGGTGTGACCTGGACAGAGCTGGACGAGGTGGGAAACAAGACGGAGGACCTGGGAAGCAAAACAGAGGTGGCCAATGATGCTCTGGTGGCGACAATGAACCACGATCCGGCGATCCAAGAGGAGGGTGAAGATGGGGAGATTTGGTGGAATGAAATCATTGAGGAAGAAGAGGCTGAGAAGATCGCAGAAGAGGATGGAGTTCCAGTGGAAACGCAAGATAGCAATGAGATGCAGGTTGATGTAAGTGAGAATGTGGGAGCTTCGCTTGACGTGGAGCAATTTGTTGATGTGGAAGCAAAGGAGGTGGGGAAAGGCAAACAAGGTGGAGGAAAACCGGTCATGAAGAAAAAGGCAATGCGTGCAACGGCGGGCATCGGCGGGGGTCCTCTCCGGCGAATGATACAGGGAGCCAAAACTCCTCGGAGGAAGCCTACAATGAAGGAAAGCCAGCGCAACGGAGAGAAAGGGGACGGCAAGGCGAAGGAGATGGAGAGAGACCCGTCGGAAGGGTCCGGGACTGACGCAAAGGCTGTTTAATGCGAGTACTCAGCTGGAACTGCCAAGGTCTTGGCAATCGTTTACAATAAGCTATCTTCGGGAAGTCTGGTGGAAGTTCGACCAGAATTTTTATTTCTTTCTGAAACTAAGCAAGATTTTAATTTTTGCAACAATTTCAATTTCACTTTGGTTTTGATAATTTGTATACGGTTGACCCATGTGGCACTAGTGGTGGTCTAGCCTTATTTTATAATAATAATTTTAATGTTTCAATTATTACTTCTTCCAAGAATTTAATTGATACACAAGTCACTATTGAAGGAAAAACTATGTTTATGTCTTTTGTTTATGGAAATCCAGTCCCAAAAAAAGAGACTATTTATGGGAAAAGTTAACTAGAATCGGTATTCACGGGATGATCCTTGGTTTTTGATTGGTGATTTAACGAAATTACGGGAAATCACGAGAAACAAGGGAGGTGCAATCAGATATGCTTCAACATTTATGTCTTTTAATCTGATGATAGATGACTGCGGTCTAGTAGATTTTCCAACTCATGGCAACAAATTATCATGGCGGGGAAAGAGATGGGGAAAAATTGTACGGTGCCGTTTAGATAGGGCTTTGGCCACAGAGGATTGGCATGACCTCTTTCCCAAGTCACATGTGGAATATCTAAAAATGGTAGGATCGGATCACCGACCGATCCTGGCAACCATAGATAATAAGATCCCTAAAGCGCGGCGGCAATTCCGATTTGATAAACGATGGATTGGACAAGATGGATTTTCGGAGGCAATTAAACGAGGTTGGTTGGAGAATCAAACAAATGCGGAATCAAATGTAGTGGATATGATCCGTAAATGCCGTCATGAAATTTCTCGATGGCGGCACGAAAATAAACCATATGGAAAGGAAAAAATAGCGGAACTACAGAAAGCTCTTGAAGAAATTCAAAATGATGATCTTCGAACCCAGGAAGATCTGGATGAAATCACACAAAAATTGAAGGAAGCTTACCGAGATGAGGAACAATACTGGAAGCAAAAAAGCCGTAATCTCTGGCTTAAGGATGGGGATTTAAATACAAAATTTTATCATGCAACCACGAAACAGAGAAGAGCGATAAACAGGATGGTCGGTTTACATGATAAGACGGATAACTGGGTTACCGGGGAAAAAGAGATGGAAAAGGTGGCGGTTGATTATTTCTCGGATTTATTTACGACTACTTCCCCAGATGATTTCACGGACATACTTGAAGGTATTCCAGCGGTGATCACGGAAACCGATAATGCACTGCTAATGCGCCCAGCGTCGGAAGAGGAAGTGCGGGCGGCTCTGTTTCTGATGAACCCGGAGAAAGCTCCCGGACCGGACGGGATGACGGCCTTATTTTTTCAAAAATCATGGCCGTTAATAAAAACGGATATTTTGGGGCTTATTAATGATTTCTTGATAACGGGAGCCTTTGATGACAGATTAAATTTGACGAACATCTGCTTAATCCCAAAGACAGAGCGTCCTACCCGGATGACGGAACTGCGCCCAATTAGTCTATGTAATGTGGGCTATAAAATTATCTCTAAAGTATTATGTGAGAGGTTGAAAACGGTACTATCCCAGCTAATTTCGGAGACCCAGTCAGCTTTTGTCCCAGGGAGACTGATCTCGGACAATATTCTGATAGCACAAGAAATGTTTCATGGCCTAAGGACAAACAAGTCTTGTAAGGGAAAGTATATGGCGGTAAAAACTGATATGAGCAAAGCGTATGATCGAGTTGAGTGGCAATTTGTTGAAGCCACAATGCGGAAGATGGGATTCGGAGAACGATGGATCGGGTGGATCATGAAATGCATAAAGTCGGTTGTGTATAAAGTACTCATCAACGGGCAACCACGGGGAAAAATAACTCCGAATAGGGGCCTACGTCAGGGAGATCCTTTATCTCCCTACATCTTTATTCTCTGTACAGAAGTTTTGATATCAAATCTTAAACGGGCAGAATCTGTTAAATCTCTAACGGGTCTGAAGGTGGCTCGTGCAAGCCCACCAGTATCACATTTACTATTTGCGGATGATAGCTTATTTTTTTGCAAGGCATCGGTTGAGGAGAGTGCAGTTTTACTACAAATTCTTCAGAACTACGAACGGGCATCAGGCCAAAAAATAAATTTTGATAAATCATCTATCCAATTTGGCCATACGGTGGAGACAACGGTACGTGCGGAGATTCATCAGATGTTAGGTATACATAAGGTCGGGGGAGTTGGTAACTATTTAGGTGTCCCAGAGAGCTTGGGGGGTGCCAAAACAAAGATTTTTAGTTTCTTGATCGATAGACAGCAGAAGCGGATAAACGGCTGGACATCTAAGGTTCTATCTAAAGGGGGAAAAGAAGTAATGGTCAAGTCTGTACTTTCGGCGATGCCGACACATGTCATGTCATGTTTTAGATTACCAAAGGGAGTAACAAATAAACTAACAAGTGCGGTAGCAAATTTTTGGTGGAGCACAAATTCCCAAACACGGGGTATGCATTGGCTCGCGTGGCGGAAGCTGTGTCGACATAAAACTGACGGGGGACTGGGATTTAGGGTAATAGAAGATTTTAACACAGCGCTACTCGCAAAACAGTTATGGCGCCTAATGGATAACCCGGATTCCCTGTTTGCTAAAGTTTTCAAGGGGAGATATTTTCGGAACTCAACCCCCTTGGACCCAATTCGCTCTTACTCTCCATCTTATGGATGGCAGAGTATCGTTTCAGCTCGACCTCTGGTATGCAAAGGACTTATTAAAAGAGTTGGTTCAGGTTCATCTATCTATGTATGGTATGACCCCTGGATTTCCGATTCTTGCCCGAGGCCAGCTATCTGTAAAGGAATTAATTACTACCCACACCTCACGGTGAATCAGTTAATTAATTCCCAGACCTCAACGTGGAATCGACCACTATTGCAACAATTTTTTGAGAGTGAGGAAATCACTCGCATTACGGGTATACCAGTGGCTACTGGATATAAACCCGATACCTGGGGCTGGTTTTATACAACAACGGGTCGGTATACGGTTAAATCGGGATATACTGTGCTACAGGAGCTTTCTCAGATGAGGGGACACTACCAGTCTTTGGACCGGACACTCGGAGATTGCAAGCGCAATCCTGGAAGGTTAAATGCACCACAAAACTCCAACATTTTCTCTGGCAAATTATTACCGGATGTTTATCGGTTGGCGCACGTTTATGTAGTCGGGGAATGCGTGTGGACCCACTGTGCGTGAGATGTGGTATGGGAGATGAGACTATCAATCATATGCTCTTTGAGTGTCCCCCGGCCCGACAGGCCTGGGCACTCTCTCCCATACCTACGCCTCCCCAGTTTTTTCCTACGGGAGCACTTTTCAAATATGGCACATCTATTCTGGAACCTCCCAGACAATGATGACATGTTGATGTATCCATGGTTACTCTGGTTTATTTGGAAAGCTCGTAATTACAAAGTTTTCTCAAATGATGATCAAAATCCGCAGGAAGTAATGGAATCTGCGATAACGGAATCCCGGGCATGGGTAGCAGCACAAACGGTAGCAGACGGAGTATCCAATATCTCCATCAACTCCGGCCACGTCCCACCGGGAGAGTGGTGTCAGATTGATGGAGCATGGAAAGTGACAGACAGTCGGGCTGGACTTGGATGGTACAATTTTGACCCGGATTCGGGCTCTGTCTGATGGGGTCTAGCAACCTACGGCGGGGTTTATCTCCTCTTCAAACAGAATTGGAGGCATTGGTTTGGGCTATGCAAAGTATGCTAGTCCATAACAAACGACGGATGAATTTCCAAACAGATAGCGCTCAGTTGGTGAAGATGGTGTCCAAACCTGCAGAGTGGCCAGCTTTTGCGATCTTGCTTGAAGAAGTGGAGCATTGTAGAGGGATGTTCCAGGCGTTCTCCCTCACATACATTCCCAGAACGAAGAACACAAGGGCAGACAAGCTAGCACGGAGTGCTCGAGCTCAGCCCCATGATGTGTATTACATAAACTCAGTTCCCCGGATTCCGCTTCCCGGACCGGTATAGGAATTTAGGCTGTTGACAAAAAAAAAATGAAAGAAAAGCTTGATTGGTTTAACACTAGTGCTCTAGAAAATATTATTGCTCTGCAGAGCACTCAGAGCACTTAACACTAGTGCTCTAGAAAATGTTTCAGATTGTACCCTAATTACTAAGTTTGAAATTTTCTTCCATTGTCGCTACAAATTTTTTTGATAGCCTTGCCAAAATGACACATGAGTTTTTGCACAATATTTTTTTTTAATATTTGGTAAAACAATAATTCTTTATTGACCACGAGACTTCTGATTTTTCAGACATAAAGAACGTCTAAATAGAATGCGGAAAATCTTCCACTAAAGTAAGAAAGTAGACAAATTTCCACGTTGCTGGTGTTTGATAGCCATGGTGATGTAGCGGAAGCTACGATAAACACAGCTCAACCTATGATTCAAAGGACTCAATCGGGATCTATCAGCTCAACCAAGGAATTTAATAGATTCTCGCTTGAGACCTGCTTCTTGAACTCGTTGAGATCTCAATCGATCTACCAAAAAAAAGGACAGAGAATACTCCTCTCAAAAGCCAAAGCTCTTTTATTAATAATCAACAAACTTTATAATACAAAAGCCTAAAGGGCTATATATAAGAAACCATAAAACCCTAAAACAATAATAATAATTAATTTAAATGATAAAATAATTAATATAAATATTTGGAATATTTCCAATTATCTTCCTGCATCATTTTCTCCGGGTTGAAAAAATTCGTCCTCGAATCTTAATGGCACTCGTGGTTTCCTTTTTCTAATCTTCCATTAATAATACCCTTTGAATAAAAGTATATTTATTTCTTCCACCTTAATGATTTTGGTCGTCAAATGGCCCAATAGAAAGAGTTGGACTTTGTTTCTTCTATGCTCCATGACATCTTTAAGATGTGAAACCCTTATGCCTTTCTTCTCCACGCCGCCATCTCCCCATGCATATTTTCTTCTTTTGTTAATTTCCTTTAAGAACTTGTAGCTTTCTTCTGAGACATACGGATGAAAAGCTATAATAAAACTCACGTTTATTTTCTCTTGAGCATCGTATAACTTCTTAAATATAGCTTCATCTTTTCATGTCTGAATAAATCCTTCATCATCATAATCATCATAAACTGGATCTCCAACAATTTCTCTGAAATTTTCGGAGAGATCTTCACCAAACGGATAACTTTGAAACAACATGATATAGAGGAACAAGATCGAACCTTGATTGAGAAACCAAAGTTCTGGCTTTGATACCAACTGATGTAGCGGAAGCTACGATAAACACAGTTCATTCAAAGGAATCAATTGGGACCTGTCAGCTCAACCAAGGAATTCAATAGAATTCTCGCTTGGGACCTGCTTCTTGAACTCGTTGAGATCTCAATAGATCTACCGAAAACAAGGACAGAGAATACTCTTCTCTCAAAAGCCAAAGCTCTTTTATTAATAATCAACAAACTTCATAATACAAAAGCCGAAACGGCTATATATAAGAAAACCATAAAACCCTAAAACAATAATAATAATTAATTTAAATGATAAAATAATTAATATAAATATTTGGAATATTTCCAATTATCTTCCTGCATCACATAGGGTCCCTCCCAAATCTTCCCAGAGACCAGAGTTTAATCAATCTTTTGTATGCATGTACAGGTTGTCAGTATTGCTTTCAAGCAGAGATTTCTTTCTCTAATAGCTGCTTAAAGACTCTGTTTCAGTGTTTCCCATGGAGAAACGTCTACGGAGACTTTCCCAAATTTTAGGCAAAGTTGGACCTAAAGTGTTGTTGTTACTATTGCTGCCATGTTGGTGGACTGACGACCCGTGTCTTTGATTCAGTATTAAGGACCTTTCTTTAGTTCCGGACAGATCTTGCTCAGCATAAGATTGTGTGTTTCCTTCGCCTTTAAGAGATTTTTTCAGATCGTTACAGCACTTTCACAATCTATTAGAAGTCTAGAACTCTGGTCACTTGTCTGTGTGAAAACGAAAAATTTAAATGAGAATGTAACTTGTAAAAGAATTGACAGGTTTTCCAAAAATCTTGTATTTTTCTCTAAATGAAATTAAAATACTTAATTTATTCATAGTTTGCTTGACAAATGTGTATTATTGAATAACACAATTATCTATATATTTTGCGTGGTTCTTTATATTGTATACCTTCTTGAATTTGTTAGTTTTTAGCTTACATAATAAAACCTCTACTGCTTTCATCTAGTTGAATAGAACACGGAACTAGCTTGTTTGAAAGCTTCCCATTGGACTTTTGAATACGTGACCGAGTCATTGGTGGGTTACTACAAACTTCAAAAGTTTCAGAAGTTACCAAATCTTTCTTCTTCTCCTCCTCCTAATTACAGAAGTTTCATCAAGATCTAGGGCAACTCCAAGAGCGAGTATGGGGTGGTGGCTAAAAGGCAGAGTTTGGATGACGATGACCATTATTTCTTTTGTTCAAGCCAAAGATCTGGTTTTCGACTGGAGAGTCACTTACGGCAAACTTTCTCCAGTTGGACCTCCTCAAACGGTACATTTTCTTCCAAGATCAACATAAACGGTTTCTTGTATTTATGTTTGAAACACCTCACATGCATAAATATATATACACACAGGTAATCCTAATAAACGGACAAATTCCTGGACCGGAGATTCACTCAGTCACTAATGACAATTTGATCATCAATGTTCACAACGATACTGACGAGCCCTTTCTCTTGTCTTGGTATCTATTTCTTGATCACTTTCTTTAGTTTCATCTTTTAGTAGACAAATCTTTTTAACACCTACTCATATCAAATATTTTCCCATTCATTTGAACAAGCAATGCAACAGTAACATCAATAAATATAAATGCAAGCGTACATTATAGTTCAAGAATGCAATTTGCATGCACATGTGCCGTTTCATCTCAGTCTTGTTAATTTGTTAGTGAACACCGACACGTCAAGTTTTCATGTTAACTAGAATATCAACGATTTAATAAAACACTTAGAAAATTTATAAATGAAGGAATGGAGTGCAACTAAGGAAAAATTCTTACCAAGATGGAGTGTATGGAACGAGTTGTCCAATCCCACCTGGCAAAAACTACACTTATGCCCTCCAAGTCAAAGACCAGATTGGTAGTTTCTTCTACTTCCCTTCCCTTGCCGTTCACAAAGCCTCCGGTGGTTTTGGTGCCATCCGTATCCTCAGCCGCCCTCGCATCCCCGTCCCTTTCCCTGAACCCGCCGGAGACTTCACTTTTCTCATTGGCGATTGGTACTTTGATCATGACCACAAGGTACATTTCTTGTTGATTCACTAATCATGTGTAGTTATTAGCACTTGTCATTTTCATATATATTATATATATAATTTACTCCGCATGCAGAGTTTGAAGGCAATTTTGGATAAAGGACGCATGGTACCTTTGCCTGATACGGTTTTGATCAATGGCAATGGAGTTACCTTCAATACTTCTTTCACCGTGTACAAAGGTTCATCTTAAAAGCTACAAACTTGAATATGTTAATTAGTTAAAAAAATAAGAGCATTCTCTAATCACCTTTGTGGAACAATATTAATAGGTAAAACGTACAGATTCAGAATATCGAACGTGGGGCTTCAACATTCCCTAAACTTTGAAATATTAGGTCATACGTTGAAGCTCGTTGAGGTCGAGGGAACACACACGGTCCAGTCCATGTTAACCTCACTCGACATTCACGTTGGTCAATCTTACTCTGTCCTGGTCACCATGGACCAGACTCCAAGAAACTATTCCATTGTCGTCTCCACAAGATTTAGCAACAAACAACTTTTTGTCGGATCCACTCTACACTACTACAACTCCAAAGGGTCTGATTTTGTCCCTAGAAAACAACCTGCCAATGAACTTGACTTTTCTATCAAACAAGCACGGTCCATTAGGACTAACTTGACTGCGTCTGGGCCAAGGCCCAACCCTCAGGGCTCGTACCATTATGGTCGAATCAAGATTTCTAGGACTTTAATACTTGAAAACTCAGGAACCCTTGTGAATAATAAGCAACGTTACGCCATAAATGGCGTATCGTTCGTGCCTGCGGATACCCCATTGAAGCTGGCGGATTACTTTAAGATCAAAGGCGTTTTCAAAGTGGGAAGCATCCCTGACAAGCCGAGAATAGGAGGGATAAGGCTGGACACGGCAGTGATGGGAGCACAACACAAGGAATTTATTGAGATTGTATTTCAAAATCGGGACAATATCGTCCAGAGTTACCACCTTGATGGATACAACTTCTGGGTTGTCGGGTGAGAACAATAGCTAAATCATATGAATGCATCGTTGGTCGTTGACTTTGACCTCCTAAAAGTTGTCTACAGGTTGAATAAGGGAACATGGTCACACGCGAGCAGGCAAGAGTATAACCTTAAGGATGCTGTTTCTCGCTCCACTACTCAAGTACGTTAATCCATTTATATTCACTTTGAGTGATGTTCAGACAAATTGCACATAAATATTACAAAATATCTATCATAATCCTGTTTTATATTAGTGAGATATGATAAAAACAATCAAGTAATTAATAATTTAATATAAAAACAAATAAGGAAAAAATCTATATCAAATCTTTTCAAATAATGTTTTTTTTTTTTTTTTTTAAATGAAATAGAAGGAATAGAACAAATAAATACTGATCTCATAATTGAAATGTGTTTGGTTGTTGTAGGTCTATCCACAATCTTGGACAGCGGTATATGTGGCATTGGACAATGTGGGGATGTGGAATCTAAGGAGCGAGTTATGGGCGAGACAATACTTAGGTCAACAATTCTACCTCCGAGTTTACTCTCCGATTCAGTCTCTAAGAGATGAATATCCTTTGCCCAAAAATGCTTTGTTGTGTGGTCGAGCCTCCAACAAAAAGAAGCTCAATACCACTCACTAGCTTCTATTGGCAATGACTCAGTTGATACCAGTCTTGAATGAGTTAACTAATGTTATATTCGGAAAATAAAAGATAAGAAACTACCTTATGCATAATTCTTCAAGAAACAACTTTATAATGGCTCCATTCTTTTGTATTTAATTAATAAGAGATTACAGTTATGTATATGAACGATTCTCCCACTACAATTCGCAAAAATAATGTTTATGAACGGTTGCAGTTGTTAATGTTTGATAACACTCACAAAGTTTTCGCCGTTGCAGCATTTTTTTGAAAAAAACAATTGTCTTCAATATCAGTAAAGAATTATAATCTTAATATTCATTGGTTTATATTTCAATTTAATTTAAGATTTCTTTTCAAATTGCAAAATCTTTTGATATAGTGAAATCAATCTTAGTTCGAAGTGGTGTATAGTTTATTCATTTAAATCTGAATCTTTCGTATATATTTTAAAAATCTCTTGAAAACTAATTGTGTATTATTTTTGAAGCAGATACCAATACATTTTATTAATTTATTTCATCTTCCATGGCTCCATGCATTCTTATCTACCAACACAACAACATGCGTCTGCAGTGCAAAGGCCAACTAAATAGCCCTTTTCTCTTCTACAATACGCAGTGCAGCCTCTGTCCCCTCCATTAATACACGGGTTCGATTTGAAGCACTGTTGACGAAGTTGATCTATTCCAATACATATTTAGCAGTAATAGTCATTAAACACAATATATAGATTCATATAAAAAGGGATAACATCATGTAATTAAAAAGGAAACGGTGTGATAGTAAAGGCAATACCTGAAGGACTGCTAGCAGATATCGTTTGACAATGACCATAAGATATAATAAAAAAGATAGCGAAAACTATTGCGACTAAATGTTTCATGGTGATAGCCATTTGTATGATATTCTTTTAACTTTATGACTTTTAGTTTACTTAGGAGTATATATATATATATACACGAAAATACGTTAAAAGATATTTTGTCTGGTCAAAGATGAAACGAAACATAATCTTTGATTTATTTCTTTATACATTTATAGTCAAAAGGAAAATAAAGGAAATGATTTTATCATATCATATATTTGTAGTCAAAAGGAGACTACTAATAAATCTGTAAAAAGAAGTTTGCCATGAGGTCTAATGGTTGACCAAAATAGTTACTTTTTTGGATAAATTAAAGGACCAAATTAGTTACTTAATACTTTTATACCAAGTGATTAGAGATTTGATTCCCACAAGATGTGGTTTCTGCAAGGTATTGAAGACAAAGCTTAAACAAAATCTCAAGCGTGGTGTAAGTAAATGTTGTACAGGATGAGCATGTATTAGTGTTGTGGATATTTGTAAAACCGATAGATTATCCATTTAATAATTATCTATTTAATTGTTCTCATAAGTTGCAATAAAAAAATAACGAGGTTTGACTGTTTGGTGATTGATCAGCTATATATATAGTTGATTATCCCATAGTTGACAAAAAGTTGCAATTGAAATCATGTCACAAAGGTTTAAGTTTTCTTGAAAGTATTATTAGCTTCTTTTAAAAATTGAATCCAAATAAGAAACGCTACACTCGCTTTGACATGACACTGTTTTTGGCGGTATTTAATCTGGAAGAGCCATCACTATGATTATGCTGAAAAGGATGGAAATTATATATACTCATCCAAGTGACTTATTCGAGTCTCCCTCCGCATTGTTCCGTGTGTCAAAATTTTGGTCACATTTGAAAACAATGTACTAGAAGGAGACAAGTAGGAAGCTGAAGTTATTGTCTATACAAAAGCACATTTGTTCAAATTTCTTTTCTTATAACAAAGAGAAGTTCTTCTGTTACTCAAGTTTATATTAGATTTCTTACTTGGTTTTCACACTTAATCAATCTTTCTCTCTTTGTACTTAAACAGATTCATTTCTTATACTATGTTCAGTTCTGGAAACATTTCTTTCTAACATCGGGTTTATAATTGTGTTATTACAAAAAGTTAAATCATCTTCTCAGCAATGGGAATATATACAAATGATTGTTTTGTGAGAGCTAAACCTGAGCTTACGACGCCACAATCTGTGTGCTTATGACAGCGCCAGAAATACTAAGAGGGATGGAGAGACATAAGACGAGGTTTGTTTGCTTTAAGGAATGAATCAATAAAAGAAGGACACTCCAAGATCAATGATCTTGACTACTCAGGTACGGCCCTGAAAAATTGGGGATCAAAATAATTTAGTAAAATTTTGATGAATATTAGGATCAAAACTCGATTTTTTATTATTTGGGGCCCGAAATCGATACATAAAAAAAAACAAAAAAAAACCTGGGGGCTATAACCAAATGACTCACTTGGCTATCCCCAGGACCCACCCTTTAGACTAGTAAACTTGCGATACAAGTCTTTATATACATTTCTAGTAATGACACCATAATCTGAGTTTATTTTCTATTTCTCTAAGAGTAACAAACTGGGAAGTCAAGATTCTCGATTTGTTTGTCTCTGACAAATATATGCATAATGTTATGAGACTTGTACAGTTTGTAAGTAAAGAGGTTTTTTGTTTTAATGGTCAATAGTCAAGACTAACAACTTAACTCTATGAGACATAAGTTTCTCTCTAAGGGCAACAATAACATATGATGTTTCCACGGCTCTTCACCTGAAAGTTAGAATGTTGAAACAACAATATCATTCAAAACTTATCCGTCTAAGAAGATAATTATAAGAGCAATTTAAATGGATAGTTTAACTATTTTACCAAAACCTATGTATATATTAATCTACTATTCTGTAAATTTTTCTTATTTGCTTCTATCTTCTTTCTGTGAACTTTTCTCCAATATAACTGTAAAAATTGCATCTTATGGGGATTGAAATCCAGACTTCATGGTGTAGAACCTATTAATAAACTTTTATACAACTATTTAATATTCACACGATAGAAGAGATATATAGATGAACAATTTTTCACTTTTTTTTGTTCAGTGATATATGAAAAAAAATATTAGTAACTAACTGAATATTATTGTGGACTCAGAATCTGAAAAAAAAACTCAAGCTTTAATACATACTAGACTGACTACTAGTGTACATTTTAAAAATCTACAGTTTGTTGCAAAATATGGATATAATCTAATTGAAGATTCTATCGTGCTATAGGTCCAAATCAATCAATCTATACTATTAAAGTGCAAGCAATCCGAGGAGCCAAACAAGAAATAAGGAGAGTTTTTCCAAAGTTATACAGTTATTCCTGTGGCCAAACACGAGAATATCCGAAACTTTTAAAAAATCCACCCAAAATCTGGGTCGGATCCGGTTAAAAGATGAAAAGCCCAAACCTACTCTGAAGAAAAGTTTTTTGGAGGGTGGTCATTTTTGTCCGAATTGTTTTAGAGATGAAGTCTGTTTGGAAACAGACATTGCGACCGACCCGACCCGAGACCCTGTTGAAAAACACGCGGATCCCAGACACTTAAATCAGACCGGAAACGTGTGGTCGATAACCGAATGAAAGAGAGGCTTAACAATGAAATGAAATAAAATCCATACCCAAAGTCCAATTGTTTCTTCATCAAAAGACGAAGGCAACCAATTCCAAATCTCGACTCCAACTCCGAAAAATCTGCAACTACTTTCCATAAATATCAGTTATATCATTTGATTTTCGAATTAAACAGCATTCAATACAAAAAATATTCTTCCAAGCAAAATATATGAAGACTTTCCACAAATCTTGCTACTCAACTAACACTCAAGACAAATCAGTTACTTCCTATAAAAAAACTGCGTTAACATTAGTTTTTAAATTCAAAGAAATTTGTTTGGTATTCTTTATGTATACTTCCAAAAATCAATGAGTACAAACAAATCGGATTTTTCTCCACGAAAAACAAATTTTAACCTAATTGTTTAAGTATAAATAGACCTTCCTCTATATCCTGGATCAATTTTAGTGGTAGCTCCCTTTTGTTTTTCTATATCTTACTAAAGAAAAACAGAGCTTTACTATTTTCTTTGAATCAATTTTAGTGGTTTTACATACCTGTTTGTTTTTCTTTTCAGGTTGGCAAATCCAAGCAATCTTCTTCATGTTTGGAAGCAATACATGGCGGCAGCGGTATAGACACTAGAGATGATGAAGACTACATTCATATGCACAAAAATGAAGACTACACTGACAATATATGTGAGTAACGAATCGTAAACCCTAACCACCTAATCCGCACCTGATTTTGCATTATCAAATTTGTTATCATATTTTAGTTTAATCAACACAACATCTTATTTGAACTGAATATAGCATGTGTTCAGAAACGTATGACAGGAAAAGAAAATGGAGGCTAGGGGTTCAACAAGAAAGTCATTGTTTCAAGGTGATCTCATTATCTCTTAGTATGCTTTTAAAGAGAAAATGCAGAGAAACAGATTGGATTCTAAAAACCTTTTGACAATCAACAAGAATAATGGGAAAAGAAACCGAGTTATGTTCTGTTTTTTTAATTATTTTTCTAGAAAATTAACTAATGTTTATGTCTTGATGCAGAGACATAATAGATAATACAGGTCAGACAAAGGTTTACCTGAGATCATCAAGGAGCAAAAGAACATGGGTTTGGTGTTTGTAGGATTTATGATTTCACATCTTCGTGAAAACCAGAAGAGAAAAGTTTAATCCTTCTTAGCTGGAGGTGGAGTATCTGCATATGATACTGTAAGTGTAAGTTTATGATTTTCTTCATGTTGTCACTTAAATTTGTAACCGTCACTTAAATTTTCTTATGATATATTTTTTTTTTTAAAATTCTTTACCGTCTTGAAAGGAAACTTCATGTTGGCGAGCGGGCATCGAGACCATACAAACAATTTTCACCGTGTTAACATGATAACTTTGTGACTGATTTCAAAGTTGTGCACAAACCTGCAACCAAATTTGGAGAAGACCAAACTCGAGAAATGAGAAACATAAATGATAAACTCGAATTGTATATTATTGATCTTAATTTTACATTATGTCTCGGGTCTATATATACATAACAAGAGAATAACCTAGATGCCTAATCTTAACATAAGAGAATATACATAAAGATATATGGGATATATCCCAATACCCCCTTCAAGTTGGAGCATACAAATTGGCTATGCCCAACTTGAGAAGAAAAGCATCAAACTCCTTTTTGCCAAGTCCCTTAGTAAAAATATCGGCAAGCTGCTCCTTAGTATCAACATGCTTCGTTTTAATAAGACCACAAACAATATCATCACGTATAAAGTGACAATCAATCTCCACATGTTTTGTTCTTTCATGAAAAACTAGATTAGCTGCGATATGCAATGCCGGTTTACTATCACAAAGAAGCATCATAGGCTCGGCATGATCAACCCCCATTTCACTTAGAATTCCCTTCATCCAACGTAACTCACACGTAACCTCCGTCATAGCCCGATATTCAGCTTCAGCCGTTGAGCGAGAAACCGTATCTTGCTTCCGTGTCTTCCAAACAATAGGAGAGGATCCACACTGAACAATATAACTCGTAAGAGAACGCCGTGTGAGAGGGCATGCAGCATAATCTGAATCACACCAACCACTAAAATGCATAGAAGATTCTGCACGAAGAAGAATCCCTTGGCCAATTGTCCCTTTAAGATATCGAACCACCTTCAAAGCTGCCAACCAATGTTCTTCCCTTGGACTTTGCATAAATTGAGAGAGAACATGTATAGCATATGTGAGATCAGGACGAGTAGCAGCAAGATAGACAAGCCGACCCACAAGACGACGGTAGACCTCTGGATCAGCAAGGAGAGCTCCCTTAGCCAGACTGAGTTGATGATGTTGATCGATTGGTGATCCAGCTGGTTTACATGCTAAAAGACCCATGTCTTCAACAATATCTAAAGCATATTTTTCGTTGGCAAAGATATAAACCAGCTTGACTGCGAGCAACTTCCAAACCCAAAACAATATTTCACAACACCGAGATCCTTCATCTTGAAACACACAGATAAATAGCTCTTAAAAGCCGTATCGCTTCAAGAGAACTGCCAGAAATGATCAAGTCATCAACATAAACCAAAATTCGAAGTGATACACCCTTCTTGAGATACACAAAGAGAGAATAATCAGACCGTGCTTGTGTAAATCCATAGTTAAGAAGAGATGCACATAGCTTTCCAAACCAGCACCTTGGAGCTTGTTTCAACCCATATAGGGATTTCTGCAATCGACACACACATGTTTCTCCCTCGTCAACACGTAATCCTTGTGGTATTTTCATGTATACTTCTTCATCCAAATCTCCATGGAGGAAAGCATTGTGAACATCCATTTGGTGAACTTCATGATTCTTATTAGCCGCAAAGTCCAAGAAGAAACGAACTGTTTTCATCATAGCAACCGGTGCAAACGTCTCCGTATAGTTAAGACCTTTTGTCTGATGATTTCCGTGAGCTACAAGCCTCGCTTTATAACGTTCAATGGTACCGTCAGACTGATATTTAATCGTGAAAACCCAATGACTGCCGAGAGCTTTCCCGGAGGTAAATGTTCAAGTCTCCATGTATTCAAAGAAATAAGAGAATCGAGTTCCACATCAACAACTTTTCCCCATCTTTCATCTTTCATTGCCTCAAAGAAGGAACGAGGTTCCATACTAACAGTCAAAGCCATTAAAAATCTGCGATGGTTAGGAGAAAACCGAATGCAAGATACAAAATTGACAATGGGATAGACCGTACCTGAGGATGGCTGAGGAGTGGGTGAAGTAGAGACGAGAGAAGAGGAAGGAGCTGTACCAGAGATTGTGTCAACAACATAGTCGCGGAGACGAACAAATGCTTTCTTAGAACGACGATCTTGTCCAAGGATCTCTTCCATAGGTATATCAGTTGCGTCCTGCTCATTGACCTCATTAGTTTCTCCTTCACAAGTAGGCACCACAACATCATCAGCCAAATTGTTCCCGATATCATCAGCGGAATCTTTCACAATGTCATCAACAACATCATCCATAACAGTAGTCTCTACCGGCATAGTAATCGGCAGAGAAGTATGCGGCACAACCTCATTTGCTGGTGAATTCATGACAGCAAGAGGAAACAAGTCTTCTTGAAACACAACGTCCCGTGATGTAAAGACAACATCTCATTCCAAGTCATAGAGTTTCCATCCTTTCTTGCCATAGGGGTAACCTAAAAATATACATCTACGACTCCGTGAAGCAAATTTGTCGCCCTTATCAAGGTTGTGTGCATAAGCAAGACAACCAAAAACACGAATGTGTTTATATCCAGGTGCATGACCATACAGCATCTCGAATGGCGTCTTGCTTTTGAGTAAAATAGAGGGTGTCCGATTGATAAGATATCCAGCCGTGAGGATACATTCTCCCCAATACTCAATCGGAAGCTGAGCTTGAAAACCAAGAGCTCGAGCTACATTCAAGATATGTCGATGCTTGCGTTCCGCACGTCCATTTTGTTGAGGTGTGTGAACACAAGAAGTCTCATGCACAATACCATGTTCTCTAAAGAAACGAGTAAGACAAAGAAACTCACTACCATTGTCACTCCGTATTGTCTTGACCTTCTTTGCAAACAGTCTCTCAATCATAGTTAGGAATTCTCGAATTTGTTGTTGCACCATGGTCTTGTCCGAGAGGAGATACAACCATACAGCTCGAGAATGATCATCAACAATTGTCAAAAATAGCGAGATCCACAAAAAGCAGTAGTGCGATAAGGACCCCATAGATCAAGATGTATCAAATCAAAAATCTCTTTTGCATTATTCAAACTATCGGGAAAACACTGTTGAGTTTGTTTTGCACGAAGATATACATCACAACTCTTAACATAAAGCTCATATCACTATCACTAGAAGAACAAGTAACACCAGAAACAATTCCAGTAACAGAGAATGAAGGATGACCCAAACACTTGTGCCATAAACTCATGTCGGGTCGAACACTTGTCTGAAGCGCAGTCACCATCTCAATTCCACGAAACCGGTAGAGTCCCTCTCCCTCTCTTTCACCCGCTCCAATCAGCATCCTTGTAATGCGGTCCTGTAAAATCATCAACTTGTCAGTTACTTGACCAACCAAAAAAATTATCAGTAACAAGCTGACCAAAGGAGATCAAGTTAATATGAAAGCCTTCAACGTAAAACACATTCTTCAATTGTATACGAGGAGTGAAGCTGACTGTCCCTTGTTTAGATGCACAAGCATTAGGATCACTAGGTAAAATGACAGGTAGATGTGCAATCGCAGATACACTCTCCATCAAATCCAAGCACCTGTATCCAAAATCCAAATATCGTCATTTTTCTTACCGCCGGTTGGAGAAGAGGATTTCCCTGCATTGAGAAACTGTTGAACAAGCCTGCACTGCTCATCAGAAAGACCACTCAAACCTTGACGATCAGCATCGGTAAGCAACAGCGAGGATTCAACAGCAGCAGTATTTGCACTTGCAATTTGTGTGCTATTAACACGCGGTGTGAAGCCACGACCACGCCCCATAACACTCCCTTGTGATCCTTGAGCACCAATCTTATTATGCGGCTTATTAGGCCACCAGTCAGGATAACCAATAACTTTAAAACAAGCACTTGCTTCATGACCAGATTTTCCACAAGAAGTACACTTCCTAGTCGGATCACGGTTGGTGGAGCCGAATCCAACATTGTTTGGCTGGTCGGAACTCTGTCGAGGGACATCATGAGTCCAAACTTGGTTCATCGGACCAGATGCTTGAGCTGCAAATCCCATCACAGCGAGATCCGGTATCGAATTCAAACGCAACGTTTCATTCTGCACTATTGTTTTATAGATGCTGTCGAGGTCAGGGAGAGGTGTGATCGCACACAATTGAGATCGAAAAACTCCATGGGTAGAATCGTCCAAGCCAGAGAGAAAATCGTGAACACGTAAAATCTCTTTCTCATTGTCATAAGCTGTGTTGAGATCACACTCACACTTGCCACAAGAACACCGCTTTGTGTTCATACATTCAGCTATGCCATCCCAAATCTTCGTTAATCTCCCAAAGTAATCATCCACTGTGGACCCGTTCTGCTTACATGTTGCCAATGCATTACGTAACTGTGGTAGACGAGCACCACTCTTGAGGGAAAAACGTTTCTTGATGATATCCCACAAGTCTTTTGGCAACTTCTCGAGTAGATATGGATGAGCGTAGTTTTGGTTCGATTGTGAGTTTAATCCAACCGACCATAAGGTGATTGTTTGCTATCCAATCTTCAAGATGAGGATCTCCAGCCGCCGGTTTTGGGATACTTCCATCAAGAAACTCAAACTTCTTTCTTGAGATTAAAGCCATCCGGAAGTTCAAAGCCCATTCGTCGTAGTTCAAACCATTGAGTAGTGGTTGTGAAATTACGGCACCAGGATTGTCTCCGGAGGTGAGGTCATACGGACTAATCTTCTTGTACTTTGGATCATGAGCAACAATCGACATCTCGAGAGAGATAAAGGTTCAAGGAAAAAGAGAAGAAAATTTGAAGAACAAAGTGCGATACTTGTTGGAGAAGCAAGCGGCGCAAAGAAGAAAAATTTAGGGTTCCTAGATCTTTAGCTCTGATACCATGATAAACTCTGAATTGTATATTATTGATCTTAACTTTACATTATGTCTCGGGTCTATATATACATAACAAGAGAATAACCTAGTTGCCTAATCTTAACATAAGAGAATATACATAAAGATATATGGGATATATCCCAATAATAAACATGGAAAAATCAAACTTAACTTGGTGTAGTAGCTATATAGAGTGAAACACTAAATTCCAGAATTACTCAGAAAGAAAACCCTTCATCAGTTGATTCATGTGGACTGGAGAAAAAATTCGTAAACCCTAACCTACATCTCATGGTCCAACACTATAAATACAACTAACAGGATCACAGAAAAAACACACAACGAAAAACTTGTCAGAGAAGCAAATCGTTCAAAAAACTTTTTGTGATTCAGCAAAATACAACTCTTTTATATTATGTCTCTTTCAGATAGTTGGAAGTAGACAGGGATTCTTCTCTTTTGTGATGATTCAGTCTTCAGTGGAATCAAAATAAGGTTATGGACATACATGTATAATGCTTATTATTAAAATGTAAGAGTTTTTCAGCTTCCTTCTAATACTTCTATCATCTCCTCCATCAGATCACTAAAAAAAGAAGTCATACACTTCTAGAAAGTAGCAGGTGCATTGCACAATCCAAATGACATTCTTCTATAAGCAAGGATAAGTAATTCTGTTTTAAAATATATGACCAAGTTCAGTTTGACTATTTAATGAGCTTTCTGATAGAGAAATTGCTTTATTAATTGTGTTTTCATTTTCTTATTGCAAGAAAAAAACTAACAAGCCGTGATCATTTTTTTTGTTTTTATCAAATCTATATCATAGTTTGTTGTCAACATTACTCCATCAAGAAGACTGATTGATATTTTAATCTAAACTAGATCTGCACCCATTGTGAATTTTGTTTTAACTTAATTTTATGATTTTACAAAGTTGATAATTTTTATTACCTTTATCCGCACGCTTTCGAATCATTCAGATCGGATATAAAATGAGTAGGTTTATTTTTAAAACTCAAATCTTTTTAATATGTCTAAACTCGAAAATTCTAAATCTAAAAAATCCCGAAAATCCTGAATAGAATAAAAAAAAACTCGAAACTTTTTCACCCAAAACCCGAACCTGACCTAAAAAACCTAATAAATTTTTTAAAATATCCAAATTTGTTTAATATGTTTAAAACCGAAAATCTGAAATCCCTAAAATCCGGAAAACCCTGAACTAAACCAAAAAAAGCTCGAACCCAAACCGAAAAGAAAATTTCAAAAAGAACCCGAACAAAAATCCACAATTTGATTTAAATTAGACGTATTTCAATTTTACTATTGGAAATTTTGCAAATATCATTCGATCATATTCTATTGATTTGGTATTATCGATAGATTATGTTAATTTTTCTTTTTTTGTAGATTTTTTAAGATCTGGAAAACGGAAGTTTTCTAAACCATCGATTTGTTTTAAGTTATTATTCTTGTATCCAAACAATTTTTTTCATTTATTTTTTCTATCCAAATGTATTTTTCTTTTCATTTTTTTTCAATTCAAATTGATATTTCTCTTGCTCTTGTATCCAAACATTAGAATGTACTCTTTTTTTTGTAAGAATGTTAAGACATTAGAATGTACTTTTCAATTAATAATATAAAAACTAGGGTTTCACCGCGCCCAGCGCGGAGTGATGGTTTCTATATTAATTTTTTACAAAGTTTGATAGTTGTGACATTCACATTCACCGTTGATTATACCGCTAAAATAGCATACCAATTTTCAAAATTTTCTTACATTTTAGCTGATGTTAATTTACCGATTAAAGAATCAAAAATATGTGCATGCATGAAATACAAAACAAAAATAAAGAAATAATATATATATGAACAATAGAATTTGTAATAGTAATGAAATTGCAAACTAATTATAAGATTTTTTTTATTTTATGTGAATGTATGCATTTAGTTTTTATAGATGTTAGTGCAGACTAATATATTTAATTTGACCTATATATTTTATATTAAATTAAGATATTTTTCATGTTTTAGACTTTTAATAAACTAACCGACGAAAACATGTATTTGTAAAAGCATCAAAATTTATTTAAATATTCAATACATACAGAAAAATATATACTTCTTTAGTTTTATATTATTGATTAGTTACTAAAATTACAAATTATATTATAAATCTTTAAATTTTGTATTATTTTTAAATCTTGATAGAATTATTATTAGAATATATAGTAATACCTTAATTTTTTATCATGTTAAATATTATAATTTTTCAAAATGAAACTTATAATATTCAATTTTTTTCAATATAAAATATTTAAAATAATTTAACTTATTATATAATTAAAATATATTACAATTATGATCAAATTTAATAATTATTTATTTGAACTAATTATACAATTTATATGAAAATCAGATTAAATCGAATGAAGAAAAACCTTTACATTTAGATGCCTACTAAGTGAGGCTTTCTACTCAAATGGTTGCACATAATATCCTTTATATATTAAAAGAGAAGACATTTATAAAAATCTCCTTTATTTTCAACTTAATTTCAAGTATGCCGTGCTGAGGTGTCGCAATTTGCCACACTCTCAGAATATTCTAAAAATAACCTCTCTTTATTAGGCAAGTGCTGAAATATTTATTATTAATTTAATCAGAAAATAATTATTAATTAAAATTATTTTTTTCTATTTCCTTATCTGAGGAAAATTATAAATAAATTTAAAAGTATTTATTAGTCAATCAATCAGTAAAATATGGAAAGTTTTATTTAATTGTATTATATTAATTGTTTAAAAATTAATTTATTATCTTATTATTTTTGTAACTTTACTATTTTAAAAATAAATTATATCATTACATCAAAATATTTCATAAAACAAAATTAGTTTTTTTCTGCATATGCTATGATTTGAAAATTTTAAAATGAAGCAAATCTCTAAAATTGTTAAAAGTCTCATATCGATTATATTTTGAGATGATAAAAAAAGATCCAAATAATGATCAACCATAGTAAAAAAAATTATTTATTAGGTTTCCAAACTTTAATTTTTTAATTTGATTTAATTTTGTTCTTTAATTGAACTAAATAAATAAATCATAATAAAATCTAATAACTTAATATATAAGTTAAACTATTTTAGTTATTTAAAATTGATCAAAAATATTAAATATATATGCCATATAAAACTATTTCAAACTTATTAAAAGATATATATGTGGATTCAACTGTGTCACTTAATATTTCGTCATGTTCCAATCAGGATAAAAAAATATACATCACTCAAAATTTTGTCTAATGTAAACTGACATATTTTTTATTGTCTAAGACCCTATTTTTCTAGAATGATACTTATGTAAAAAGATATCTAAAAATAAAACTAAATCAAGAAAATATCACCCCGTGCAGGGCGCGGGTCCAACCCTAGTATATTTTTATAACAGATTTCTGAACCATCACTCAATGACATATCTGATATGGGATTTTAACATTTTTAGCGATTTATTTTTATTTAAATTATTTAAATCATAGCATTTACAAAAATGGAGATTTTAATTCTAATTTTATATAGATGATTCAAATTATTTTTTTTTTAAATAAAGTTAAACAAAGATGATAGGAGAAATATAATGATTTTAAAAATAATTAATATGATATAATTGAATTGAGTACCTTCCTTATTTACCAATTTCCGTGACTATCAATTAAGGAAAAAATATAATAGTTTTTAATTTATATTTAGTATATAAAGACATATTTGATTTTATAACCATAATATATGGTAGCATTGTTTGTAATTATTCTAATAAACTAAACCTTATTTTATTTAGAGATCACAGTTAAACTCATATATCATCTATTGATCAAGATGAAAAATACTTACCATGCCCGAGTATGACATAATTGTCTCTTGCAGCAAGTTCTCTGTAAGCTGAAACACTCGATCTATGAATCCAAAGTCCAAATGAAACAAGCAACACTTTTTAAAAAAATAAATAAATACTAAACAATTCTAGCGAAGGTCTTTAAAATAAATTAAATAAATAAATATCAATAACAAAAAAATCAGTTCAGCGGAAGCAAATAATAATTAAACAAGTCTAATCAATTTAAACAAGTTCAACAAGGTAATGCAAAAAGAATAAATCCTATCATCCCCTCTTCAGCCTTGATTCCGCGATCACACAAATCTTTTACCTGCAACACATTGGAATGGAGTTGCGTAAGTATTTAATAAATACTTAGTGAGGCAATCACTCTGCCTACGAGCCATTTACGCAATTTACTAGATATTTAATAATATTATAAATTCCAATAATTATTAAATACCATTTTCCAATTATTAAATAATTTTAATAATTAAAACTCAATTTCTCAATTATTAAATAATTCTCATAATTAAATAATAATTTTTCATATTTTAAAATAATTAAAATAATTATTTTAAACCATTTAATCAATTAAAATACTTAATAATTAATTAAATACACATTAAACCAACCAAAATCGATTAAACCATCTCAATTGATTTAAACCAGCCAAATTCAATTAAACCAACTAAAATGATTTTAACCAGAGTTAACCGGTCTGTGTCGACCGACACCGATTCTGGAAAAACCCAGATCGGGCTATGAACAGTACCCGTAACTCGAAATTCACAGGAAATCAATCAAACAACCATAAACACTGAATCAAACATCAATATCATCACGAAATCACCACATAAACACATACATATCTTGAATCTAGCAATCACGGACCCACAATCATGCACTCACCTCGGATATGGGATTGAAAAGGGGAAAACGAAGGGAAATGAAGAAGCACAACGAAAACGACGAAGAACACCGCCGAAACCACCACGCAGCAGCCGCCACACGAACCCAAGCCTCCAATAGACGATGAACGGTCTTGGATTGAGCTCACAACACCGAAATCGCCTCCAATTCTCTTCTCCTTCACGTTTTGCTCACTAAACGACAAAAACCGAGGAGAAGGAAGACGGCTGCACAGGTTTTAACATGAGGAATAGGGTTTCCAGCCCAAACCAGCCTAAACCGGAAATCGATTTCACTTAAATCGAACCGGAAATTGCAAACCAGAGCTGGTGTCGACCGACACAAACCTGTGGTGTCGGTCGACACTCGACCAAAACTGCACCTTTTTGGTTTACGGATGTTACAACTCTCCCCCGCTAAACTGGATTCGTCCTCGAATCCCAACTCCAAACGTCACAAAGACCACAAAAACCCGACCTCGCAAGGCCACAACAATGGAGATCCTCACCTGATCCCCGAGACTCACATCCAATCTTGTGTTATACGCCCGTCTCTAGACATCTTTACTCTTAACTCATCACCTCAAACCACTTGTATTGGGGCCACTTGATGATAGGATTTTGCGTGGATGTGATATGATATGAATGAAGGATGATAAGATATGAGGTGGAATGCAAACAGGGTGAATAAAGATGAATGGTATGGTGCAATCACAATCAATCAATTCCTCTTAACCATCATAGTCATTGAAGTATAAGAGGTTATCAATCCAAAATGGGAAACTTGTCACTCTATGAGAATATGAAACAACCAGGAAAGTCAAGCAAGCAGTAATAGATTTGAAGTAACACTAACAACCTAAAAAAATGAAAAGCAGTGCAATAAAAGTAAACAAAGCAGTGAAGTGTCAGCTCGACCAAGACTCGAGTCGAGTAGACAAAGTACCAGCTCGATCGAGTTTAGGGACGAGTTGAGACAAACAAAGCTAAAGGTGACGACTTTAACAAGATAAGAGAGAATTAGGGTTCAAGACAGGGTTTTGCAATCAAAGGAATCTACACTTAATCAATCTAGCTCTTAAAACTCCTTGTATCAAGGCTTCTCTTGATATTGGGCTTCTCAATGCCTAGCCAACCCTTTCCCAAGGTGGAGGCTATCAACCAAGGAATGATCTCAGAAACAGGGGGTTAGCCAGTGAGAATCAAACCTTGGAGGCTATAGGATCATTGCCCAAACTAATCCATCCAACCCCTTAGACCTCTATTGTCTAGAGCAAGAGATATTGGAGCTCTTAGTGGATCTTTTCCAGCGAATGCCATCACTTTCGTGTGGGGAGTCGCCTAAGGACTTACAAGCCAGGGGTAGTGGTCATGTAGCCTTAAGATCTATCCAAAAGAGAGAGAATCTAGATTAAGACCATAAGCTAGAAGGATTAAGCATATGAAACCTCTAATCTATCCCATCTCAAACCCTAATGGGTAACTACTCACTACACATGAATGTAAACACAAGCAAATGCAATAAAAGAGACATCATAAGAAAGAGGAGATGAAATTAAACAACTTTTATTGAAATAAGCAAGTGCAAATACAAAGAGAGATTATCCAGGATCTAAGATTCAAGAAGCAAGAGCTTCAAGAACACAAAGATGGGATTAGATCTCTAAAAAGTAAAAGCAAAAATAATCTAAAGCTTGGTGGTTTTTTCGTGGCTTAGAGCCTTTAAATACAAGAGGATTAGGTTTAGGGTCAAAGGAAAGTCAAGGGGGAAGCAACATTTTTCGGGTTTGACTTTGACTTCTCAGCTCGATCGAGTTGAAGCTTGGCCGGTCGAGTTGAGGAACTCGACCGGTTGGTCGAGTAGACGGTCGAGCTGGTCTTCAAGATGGCTTCTCCCTTCTTCCTTTGCGTATCCAGTTGAGCTGCTTCCATGTGCCAAGTCCCTCCATGCTCCTCATGTCCCATATGCTCCAGAATGCTCCAAAAGACCTATTTCAAAGGACCAAACATGCATATGTATGCAAATGCAACCTAAAACTAACATGAATGCATAAGAAGAGAAAAGGAACAAGATATGATGCAAATGGAAGCTAAAACTATGCAAAAGATGCATAAAAGATGTGCTAAAACTATGTAAAATGCAAGTACATCAACACCCCCAAACTTGAACTTTGCTTGCCCTCAAGCAAACAAATAGAACAAGAAAGAGATGAGGTTTGAAAAAAAGCTGATTCAACACTTAAAAACATGTCCTCAAAAGCGATTTGCTAAATGTCCAACTTAGAGATTCTAGAATGCAACAAGGTGAGAGATATTCATTAAGATTTAACCATGCTTATCAACATCAATCCCACTTCACAGTCACTCAAACAATGCATTCAAATCAGCAAATCCCTTTAACATTCATTAAGCAAAAACAGTGAACCAAAAACATGCAAGATCAATCAACTCATTTGGTTTCAAGGGTTTATGGGTTAAGAGACAAAGAGGGTCTCTTTTGTATGGTGGTTTAGTAACAGGGATCTCTCAAGAAAGTGGCTTTGCTTTGGCAGAAGGCTAAGTGTTAGAACCAAAGATGATGCAAGAACAGCAGCTCGAGCCGCCTAATCCTAACTCGATCGAGTTCAACACTTAGAGCTTTTTAGAACAAAATCCTAACTACCCTTTTTGGCATTTCGCCTTTGAAACTGAGGAGCTTTGCTCACTTTTCTTTTAAGAACTTCCTAGGGAGAGGCTTCTTGAGGTAACATCTAGCGGTTTGGGATTTTCTAAACACTTAGGGAACTTTTCTTTCCTTTTTGACACTTGAGGCTTTGCCTTCTTTTCATTCTACTTAGAACCCTTTTTACTTTCTTTTTTAACTTCCCAAACCTTTACTAGACCCTTTTTAACACTGCCAACTCCCTGGACTAAACTCTTTTTCCTTTGGGTTTTTCCCAACTTTTACCACTTTTCTGGTTTTTGACACCCAACTCGATCGAGCTCGAGTTGGCACCCCCAAACTTAGCCTGAAAACAATCCCAAGAGAACTAGACAACTAGAACTACTGCCCCTGCCGGTTTAAACACAACACCTTATGCTAAGCAAAGCCAAGAAAGGTTCTCACATTCGCACAAGAGATAAAATGGGGTTTGAAATGAAAAGGCTTAGGTTTAAGGTGGTAACTGTCTCAAAGATAGAGATCAGCTATCTGGACAAGCAAAAGGGATATGAAAATAGGTAAAGAATGTCCAGATATGTATGTGGTAGCCATGAGTTGAAATCAAATGCAAGCATTGGTAATTAAAGATCAAGTTATGGTTCAAATAGATAGGGAAATGCATCAAATCACAGCAATGGTTGAATGAGATGTGCATGCAGTGATATGATCAAGATAAACATGGTTCTTGCTGCTCAATCAATCTCACCCTAATGCACAAAAGAATCTAAAAACAGGGCACTCAAGAAATCGCAAAAGATGGACAAGTTTTCAAAGTCAAATCAACAATGCAAGTGAAAAATGCAATCCTAAACAAGTCTAACAAATATGAATGCAAAAAGATGAAAATATTTTTGGATTTTTTGAAAATTTTATGATTTTTTTGGTTTTTCTATGCAAAAGATAAATGAAAAACTAAGAACAAAGAAAACAAGGTTAAATCATCTCTTGAACCCTCCCCCAAACTTAAATCACACAGTCCCTTGTGTGAGAAAAATTTAGTGAAAGATTCAAGAGGGCAAAACCAAGAAAAAACAAGAACAAATGCAAGAAAATATGAAATGGTATATACAAGGGTTGGTGTTTGGATACCTCAGTGCCCCCCAAAGAACTGGGAGGCTAGGTCGTGGTCTGGAGATGGTAGACGGCCATCAGGAGCACTCCACTCAACTGGGGTTGCCTCTTCGGCTCACTCGATCGAGCTTGCGGCTCCTCTTCCTCCTCTTCTTCATCTCAAAGTGTGTGGCTCCCTTGGCCTTGGTGGAGCTGTGCTTGCTCGAAGCTGTTGTAGGGGTCCAGTGGTCTGGGAGAAGTCCTGGTAGGCGTTGGATCGTACTCGAATCCAGGGTTCTCAAACAGGGGCTCCTCCAGGTCAGCTCGATCGAGTTGAGTTTCCTCTGTTTGGACTCGATCGAGTCCGGTGGTCGAGCTGGAGCGTCTGGCCTTGGAAGTCTTCCTCCTTCTCTGCGTGTTGTCTCTCCTTCCCTTGGCTCGAAAGAAGAGGCTCTGTGAGGCTCTTGGGCAGAGCCTCCTTGGAGTGGTGAGGAGTGACCTACTCCTAGGGAAAGTGGGGCCATGGGTGCCTTCTTCTTCTTGCTTGAAGAACCAGAAACCTTCTTCTCCAAACTCTTGATCTTGCTCACCATCTTGTCCATGGACTTTTGCATCCATGGCTTTCCCTTGCCACTTGTTGAACTTTTGGAGAAGTCCAATCCTCTTGTGGGCAGCCACAACAGAGGGGTTCATCCTAGGAGC